GATGTTGGCTACTTGAGTACAAAAGGCTCGAAGGTAGGGCAGTAGGTTGGGGGGGGCTTTGTCGAGTACAGTGCTTAGGTGGCAATCTACAGCTTCTGCGGTTCCTCCGAAGAAGGTTTGGCCTAAAGAACTCGGGGGGGGCTTTGTCGAGTACAGTGCTTAGGTGGCAATCTACAGCTTCTGCGGTTCCTCCGAAGAAGGTTTGGCCTAAAGTACTACGTTCAAGGGCTTTGGCAGTTGCTAGGACGAAGTGTTGTTGTATATTCGGGAGGGGGGGAATTGGGCGTGCTCCTCCCCTATCCGGACCTCTTTTCAGAGGCGACAGTAAGGCCGGAGGCCTCCTTAGAGGGGTCTCCATGGAGGGTAATCGGCTTGTTTAGTACAAGCAAGTGAGAGCAAGTGATTTAGAACAAAAAATTTGATCTCGAAAAAAGGTTGTTGTTGATATATATTATATAAAAGTTATTATATTAAACTTCTAGTATAAATAAAATTATTATATTACCTAGGTATTATACCTAGGGTAATTAAAAGTACGTAGAAATAATTATTTTAAACTAATTATAGAACTATTTTAGTTATATAATACTTTTAGAATAATTTTATTCTAAGAGAATATAATAGTAAAGAGTTATTATAAATTATATTAGTATTCATCTTATATATAGTCGGCTATTCTAGCTATCTTCGCTCTTTATACTTATTATTACTACTATTAAATACGTCTTTAGTATTCTCTCTCTAGTTATATTTACCTTGTTTTCCTCGAAATTAATAATAAATAAAAAGATTAAAGTAAAAGTTTTTATTAAGATATTACTTTTCTTAAATAATATAAGGTTTATATTCGTTCTTAGATAGACTTTTTATATATAATTTATTATCTTATAATCTAATAAATATAATATATCTTATATTATATAGTTAACTACTGTCACGAATCACGTAAGCATGTGACAAGTGAAGACCAGGCGGCGTCCTGACAGGTCGAGCACTATCATATCTCTTATAGCAAATAGGGATGCTTAGACTAGCTAAGCGATCCAGGGATTTCATTACATTGTAATCACGTGACCATTTGCATCGCCAGTATCGACAGGCGATGCTGGCGATATGTCGACAGCATCGACAGGCGATGTAGGCGACGGCGGAACACGAAGGTTCTATATAAGACTGGCACGTCTGCCATTAGATAGGAGCTTCCTGCTCAACTTAGTTATCAATCTTATCATATTAGTTTGACATCTTTGATACAAGTAACGAGTTCACGTCCAAGTGAACAACCCGATAGTCTTCTTCTTATCATAGCATACCAACCAGCGAACACCCAGCCAAGTTTAGTTAGCCAGTTTGAGTATTCGTTACACTTACCCCCCTATCGCTTACTTACGATATATTACTTATTTAGATTAGATATATTATATTAGAATAGAAGTATATTACTTTAGATTTAGTATAAATATTAATAAATAGATACCGGTAAGGATCTAGATTTATATTTAGATTTAGACTTTATAGTATACTTGTTTACTTCGATTCTCGGATAAGTAATTATTAAGAGTCTTATCTATAGGGATTCGGGATACTAGAGTATTATCTTTCGATTTTATAGCGGTAATTGTTATAATACGAGTACTCTCGGCTCTACTATCTAGTACTACTATATTCTATAGAAGGCGCTAGTTCTATCTAGAATACTTCTATACCGATAGATAGCCCTATATTAGAGCCCTGCTCGCCTCTTAGCTAGCTTCTCTCTGTATTCCAACTTATCCATTCTATATTGTGCCCTCGTCTTCTGACAGAAGGCTAGAGCGAAGAGAAGACTAAACTAAATAACTTCATGCTATATTAAGTTAGTCCGTGGCACTGCGTGGCACTGCGTACGAAGTATTATTATTATTATTAGTAGATATAATGTTAAATGTAGTAGATAGTTTAATTTATATTTTTGAGAGAGGAGAGAGAAGGAAATATAGTTTTCCATAAGGGTCTATATACTCGTACATGAGTAAAATTCCATGGAAATTACAGGATCAAGAGGGGTGGTGGTGACCTACTACCTTACTACCCCTATTTACTATCTTCTTCTTATCATAGCATACCAACCAGCGAACACCCAGCCAAGTTTAGTTAGCCAGTTTGAGTATTCGTTACACTTACCCCCCTATCGCTTACTTACGATATATTACTTATTTAGATTAGATATATTATATTAGAATAGAAGTATATTACTTTAGATTTAGTATAAATATTAATAAATAGATACCGGTAAGGATCTAGATTTATATTTAGATTTAGACTTTATAGTATACTTGTTTACTTCGATTCTCGGATAAGTAATTATTAAGAGTCTTATCTATAGGGATTCGGGATACTAGAGTATTATCTTTCGATTTTATAGCGGTAATTGTTATAATACGAGTACTCTCGGCTCTACTATCTAGTACTACTATATTCTATAGAAGGCGCTAGTTCTATCTAGAATACTTCTATACCGATAGATAGCCCTATATTAGAGCCCTGCTCGCCTCTTAGCTAGCTTCTCTCTGTATTCCAACTTATCCATTCTATATTGTGCCCTCGTCTTCTGACAGAAGGCTAGAGCGAAGAGAAGACTAAACTAAATAACTTCATGCTATATTAAGTTAGTCCGTGGCACTGCGTGGCACTGCGTACGAAGTATTATTATTATTATTAGTAGATATAATGTTAAATGTAGTAGATAGTTTAATTTATATTTTTGAGAGAGGAGAGAGAAGGAAATATAGTTTTCCATAAGGGTCTATATACTCGTACATGAGTAAAATTCCATGGAAATTACAGGATCAAGAGGGGTGGTGGTGACCTACTACCTTACTACCCCTATTTACTACCTCTCCCACACACATAAGAACCATCCATCCATCCTTTCTTCCCTCCTCCTCTCATCTCCCAACTTAAAAAACCACCACTCTCCTTCCTCTCCTCTCCCTCTACTTCCTCTAAAATTCAAAAATTCAAAAGAAATGCCACGCTTCCTCTCCTCTTCCTACAATATCAAGACCTCCCTCCTTGTCCCTCCTCCTCATACATACCTACATACACTCATACAAGTACTTACTTACCTTACTTCCAAATCCACCTCCTTGACTTTTCCGATAAACATTCATCTTGCTCGCCGCCGAGGTATGAAAGAATAGGTGGCGAGAAAGGTACCGATAGAGAGGTAGAGTTCCAAGGAAAGCTAGGTAAGATGACAATACTTGTTGATTTATTTACCTAGATTTCTCACTCCCATTACCCCCATTGCATAGCCCCTTGATACCCTCATTACCTAACACCACCACAACCAACACCATCACAAAAAGGCACACACACACACACACACACACAAAGAAAAATGACACAATAGGTAAACTGTCTTCTGTATTTCATCACCGTGTTTACCATCTGCCTACCTGCCTACCCTACCTTATCCTATCCTACCCCCTTCTCATTCAAACCCCTCTTTCCTTCCAGCGTAATCAAAAAAGATTCCTCCTCCATCTCGCGAATCAACCATCATACCTCCCTTCTCTCACAAATCCCCTTCACACAAGCCCCCCTTCCCCTCAAGACCTTGATGCTAGTCACCCTCGAAATATCCACAGATTAGAAGAGAGAAAACAAAAAGAAAAAAAATCACACCCCCGACCCTTGAAAAAATGGACAAAGACGGAAAAAAAAGACAAAAGAAACATCACATCCATCCCGTCCATCTATGTCCACTAAAACCAAACTAACTGACTGTTTCCTCCCAAAAATATGCTAATGACGTTCGACATGCTTGGTGATAGGAGAGTGAGAAAACTTCGGGAGGAGAGCGTAACATAGTCGTAAGGTAAGGGTCGAAAAAGTGGGTAACGAAATCTCGAATCCCGGAAAAGATCGGGGTGTTTCGAATATGGAAAACGTATAAAACTCCCGCTTCCAAAATGTACAATGCTATGCCACCATAATACAAACATCCCACATCCCAGCTACCTCGTATATCCATTATTTGGTGGAGGGAAGAGCGTCTGCTGAGGTTGATGATGGAAAAAATGAAAGAAATATGCTTTTCCCAGCTTCATGATCCATATTTGGGATCTCGTATAACGCCGGGGTATGGTTGAAAAGTGTTGCCAAGAAGAACAATCGAAAAAGCCATCTATTTGGCCGTTGACCCGCTGTTGATAACGACTCTGGCCCCCTCCTTGCCCAGAATTCCCCGCTCCTGTGGTTTTGGGCTATGACTGCGGCCTCTCTTTCGGCTCAAGAAACCTAGCATGCCACTAGGTTTGCTCTCTTCGTGTAATTTTGCATCGAGTGGAAGAGTAGCATCTTTCTTGGCAAGTTCAGTCCAACTTCCAGTCTCACCCAATACAACCTGCATGCCTCCTCCCATCGACTCCTTTCTTGAACCACCAGGTCGTTGTGTGGTTCGATTGCTGTTGTAAGATGGGTGGTATGGCGAAACGGGAGGCTTGGAGTTTGAGTGTGACCTTGTACTGACCAGTTTTGATGCTTTGCCATTTGGTAGAGGGGCTGGAGCATTTGGGGGCGAGCCTGAGGTCGAGGATGGTTGAGACTTCGAACCCTTTCTTCGCAGTCTCGAAGCTGGACGGGTAGCGGTGGCTACACTTCCTTTACTGCTATGTCCAGCTACACTACCTGCAGCACTTCCCTCGGACGGCGCTCCTGTCTTTGGCGATTGTGCAGGTTCGATAGGACTATCACTCGTCGCGGGAAGTTGTTCTTGTCCCTCTGCGTATCTATTGATCGGTTAGCTAAAAAAAACATGGTTGGAGAATTCTATACACACTTCTCGAATGCTGCCTGCGTATAGTCGAATGCTGTGAACTGGGCTTCGATCATTCTGTAAAGTTCATCTTCCCTAATCTCCTTATCTGTCGCATCCTCTCTGAGCTGCTCTCTTGGTTTCTGGCGACGAGCTCGTGCTTCCAGGGGTGCTTCTTCCAGTAGTAATTCCTCTAGATCATAGGTCGCGTCAAAATTGGTCTTTTCTCCTGATGGTATAAAGACTGGTTCGACCTCCTTTCTCTCGAGCGCCTCAAAATCTATATCTCTAAAGAAAGGATTATCGGTGAAGCTCTCGAAACTCATCGATCCAATTCGTTGAGCCGGATCTATCTCTAGTGCCGAACTAATGGCATGTAAACAAACCATAGATACCGGAGGACTGGTCACAGGGAAATTGGGCTGGGCTTTAGATATTTGCGCTGCCAAGGTGGAATGTGTGCTTCCATCAAACGGTCGCTACCAAATTAGTTGCTGGTATGATTATGGTCAAAATGAGATTACATACCTTGTTGTAAATACATTCATAAAACAAAACACCCAGGGACCACCAATCAGCACCAGGTCCATAGCCTTGCCCTCCGTATACTTCGGGTGCAAGATATGCGAGAGTTCCTGATTTACTCGTGAGCTGGCGTCCAGGAGTGTAATCGGAAGCAACATTCTATTTCATATCAGCATCTATTCAGTATTGGAAAAGTCATCCCACTCACAAAATCCGCCAAATGAATATGGCCCTCGGAATCCAGTAATACATTATCAGGCTTGACATCGCGATGTATTATTCCTTGACTGTGAATGTATCTCAAGGCACAGCCTAACTCGGCAATCCAGAACTTAACCGCTTCCTCCGTAAACGTCTTTCTGGAGATATGAAATCGCAGATCGCCTCCGTTCATTAAATCCACCACCAAGTACCTGGAAATTGGATCAGCACTTATCGGTCGAGGAGCTCGAGAATTACTCGCATGTACTCAATGTCTTGAAAACTGTAGCGCAAATTGCATATAAACTGGTAGTTCAAGTGCTCCAACATCCGCCGCTCTCGTAATATATTCCTTACGCTCTCGGATCGCACCACTGCGCACCGGTCATGTCAGTAAACGTGTATGCAGCGGATTCCGGTGCTGACGGACCCTCATCTTTTCGAATGTACTTCAATGCAAATGTCAACCCCGTATCTTTGCGCTCCACAATTCGGACCTTTCCAAAGGCACCCTTTCCTACGACGCGCAATAATCGGAAATGGTTGAGATTCACTGTACGGATCAAACACTAGTTAGCCAAGACTCCATGCGGTTCGCAACAGTAGGATTGTAATAATGGTGCTGTTGATATGCCAATTGAGAGGATCTATCCCAGTGGCTTTCCCCAGGACATGGCTTACCCTGCTCATCGAAGCACACCTGTTTTCCGTGCGAGTTTCCCATTCTGACGACTGTCTGTGACCAAATAGTCTACCGGTCGGATTGATTCTTGACTCCTGTGTTTCTGCCCGTAGGCATGTTCGACTGGAGAGCAATGTGCATGCAGGACGCGGTGTGTTCGGGGGGATCGAGTGCGGTGCAGTGCAGTGCAAGCGACTTGGTGGATTGTTGCTCGAGGGTGATGTGGTGATGTGGTGATGTGCCTTGTACTGCCTCCCGATTGCAGGTTTGCGTTGGTCCTGAGACGAGGACGGACAATCGATGGCCGCGTAAGAAAGTGGATGGGCCGAAGCAAGCGAGGGGGTGGGAGGAATAGATTATGCTGATCCGACGTGGTGGATGGGGATGGGGATGGGCGAGGAGTGGACAAGGGCGATCTTGTACTGTACTGTACTGTACTCGTACCCGTCGGCGACGGCGATACAAGGGACGATGACAACACCAGCAATTTCTGCGATGCTGAAGAGTTTGGGTGGCACTACGGTGATAGCCACACTAGTACTAGAACAGACCAGGCACAGGTACAGGCAGGATTGATGGTGTCTGCGTGGAAAGAGCTGCCTTCTAGATCTTTCCGAAACAACGTGGATTGTTTAGGGATGGGACTGTGTGTGCTCAGTAGGAGTGCTGTGTTGTGCTGTGCTGCGCTGCCCGTGGTTGCCGTTGGGCTTGCCTTGGGGCTGCTACGAGTACTGGCCGGGGATTGGGCTTAGGCATAAGCTTCGAGTGGTCTTGTCGCTGCCTCTAGCGAAATTTGACTTGACTTGACGAAACGACACGACCAGACGAGCACGGCAAGATACGAGACGATACGGGGGTCAACGGAGACCATACGGAGGGATTAGGGCTTCAATGAGGGTATTAGCGCATTATGGATAGGGCACCATGGGACTAGGGCTTGAGGGCACTGTTCACCACGAGTGCATATGTAGTATCAGTATACGGCGTATCGGTAGTGGAAGTATTACTGAACGTGCTCTGGCTATGCTGTAGGTGCGGTAGTAGGATGCTGTGCTCTCTGTACGCCGTGCTATCTCTCTGCCTCTGCCCAAAACGGCAAGCTACTAGTCGCTGCTCATCTGGGCAGTCTCAGGCTCCGGCTCCGGTTGGTTGGTTTCCACCGTCGTCAGTACCAAGTACGGTAACGGTTCTAGGGGAATTCGAATGGTTCTCCGTTCTAGCGTTTCTTCGCTTCGTGGCAGGAGTAGGCAATACACTACTACTTCGAAGTAGTACGGTCAATACGGAAGTATTGTTAGTAGTGGGCGGAAACTGGCTGACACCTGTTTCAATGGTTGCTTCGATGCTTCTGGTTCTAGGGGTCAAGGGTTCTACGCTTCTACGCTTCTACGAGTACCATTCTAGGGTCTCAGGGTCCAGGGGGGCTCTGTAGGCTCTTCACTGGCTCGAGGCTCACCAGCCCAGCTTCTCGTCGCCCACGCTAGCCTGGCCCTATTGCTGCTGTCACTCCCGATTGGGCGGGTATACAGGGAAGGGGTGCTCACCAAACATGCGGTTTCTGGCTCTCGCACCGAAGTGTGTCGTCTCATCTCAAGTTGACCTACTGTAAGGAAGAGAGAACACCCGCTCAACGGCTCAGCGGCTCCGAATCTACTGATTCCGCACTAGAGTCTCATTGGGCCATGGGAAACAGCAACCTAACCAGTAGATATCCAGACGTGTCGTTGAGACGACTTACGAGCACTGTAAGTGCGTCATGTGATTACCGTGATTACAGTGAGGGAGGAGGGAGTGCAACGTGCTAGCGTCGCATCTGGGGGAAGAGCACCACGGCACAAGTGGCATCGGCCGTACTCCTCCATTGGGATAAGCTCTCGGAGGGCCTCCACTTGAGGCCCGGTTGACTTGGACCCTTGCTTCCCCTGGTCGAGAGACATAGTGGACTGCTAGTGGACTGCTAGTGGACTCGGAAGCTGGGATGACATGTGGCATCGTAGATGGCAGCGCATGGCAGGCATGGCAAGCATGGCAAGCATGGCAAGCATGGCAAGCATGTGGTGCTGTGCTGCCTCACGTTGCTTACTGCCAATAGTGGTGGAGCGGCTGCTGAATCCACGGAACATATTTCCAGTGGGACGATGATGAGGAGAAACCGCCGTGAGCGACGCCATGGTCCATGCCATGCCATGTCACGGAAAGAGAAAACAAAGATGAGCCTGTCAGCAGAGAGATGGGATGCTTTGGATGCATCGGATGCAACCTCTTTGCAGAAATGCATGAATCCTACGGAATCGAGCCGTCCCTTGGATCTCATTCTCTGGCCTCAGATACTCCGTACGTGAAAAGGAGGAGACAGAAACAAGCGAAGACTCGAAGAGGGTCGATGGGCGAATACGCGAGGGCATCGGAAACATCAGATACCCATTCCCCCAGAGCATAGAGGGGCCTTGGAGGCTTTGATAGCGAATGAACCCCATCACGGGAAAAAGCTGCTCAAAGCAACCATCTCAAGACAAGTATTGGAATCATAACACAGGTATTAAGATATCCTTATATGGAGGCATGAATCACGTTATGTGGGAAAGTGGATGATCTCCTGGTTACCCGCCTTCCGTCCAACCACCTGTATCACGAGAGGACCAATCCGTGGCACTCTAGTCAAGTGCTATCTCCGTCTGTATGTTATCAATTGGAACCCAACCTGCAACCAACTCTACCGACAACCTTAGTGTTCCAACAATTTGAAAACTCCTCTTGGACCTTGGTTCATTTGTAATCATTTAAGTGGTTAAGTGGTGGTTATTGTCTCCATTGAAATCCACTAGTGCAGTACCTCTTGGTATGAGGCTCAAATCCTTTACGCCGCTTTACACAAGCAAAGCAATGCTATCTGTTTCATCTTAATACTATATGTTTCATCTTAATACTATCTGTTTCATCTTAATACTATCTGTTTCATCTTAATACTATCTGTTTCATCTTTTACACCTTTTCCCGTCTATTTTGCTTTTCCCCATCAGATTCCACCCATCTCTTACTTCGAAGTAAAAGTCATAAGTTTCACATGGAAATATAGGATCCACACTCAAACTTTGCATTTGTTACGCCTGGGGGAAAGACGTTCGAACGAAAATAAGATATCCCAAAGCCGCATGCATATGGGACTTGAACGAGTCCCGGAACGGCTGAGAGTCAATTCCCTTGCAGCTTGCTCACTAATAGTCTTCATTGGATTGGGGTCGCTACCTACCAAACCCATTCCAACCCGAAGGATTCCAACGTGGTACTCGTACTACTGTGCCGCCAATCCTGCTCGCGGGTGAGATACCTACAGTATAACAATATAAAATGGTACGTACTCGTACACATATAACACACCCCAACTATTACCTACCCACTCCACCTTTACCATGCTTAAAGATCCAAGCTCCGAGTGATCATGACGACCTCCAAGGACAGGTCTCACATCCCATTCCCCAAACCAGTTAGACAGAAGGGAAAAAGAAAACGAAGAAAAATCTATCAGAATTACTTCGTAAAGAGGGAGGAAATGCGTTTAATTCATCTTCATCCTTCCCCGTCAAATCTCATTTTTGCCACGCCTTACTGTAAGACCAACATGTGTCGACCCCGACGATCATGGATGACATGACATGCAAGGATGCCGAGATATTGCAGCTACATCCAATCCAGTAACATCCATCCATCATAGAGTAGAGTCGGAAGGAATACCCTCTATCAAGTCATTCGCACCATCCAGGAGCTACCCAACGAAAAATCACCGAGAAGGAACATATCCCTTCTTCTAGAAGGAATCCCTTCTTCTTTTAATGATCCCATGCCATGCCATACCATATTTTCTCTCCTTCATCCCCTCTTCACGCGCCGTACCGAGACCGGTCGGTCGGTCGGTCGGTGCTGACATCCATCTCCATCCAGAATCTCACTCCCCTACTCTATCCCCAACTCGTCAAGACCCAAAAAAAAAAAAAAATTAAATTAGCAACATCAACCAAACCCTCCATCCCAACTCGGCTATCTCACAGCAGAGACCCCTTTCTCACCTCCACCTTTATACTAAGTATTGATTAAGTATTGATTAAGTATTGATTAAGTATTCCGACACCCAACATAAACTTCCTCACTTTATATTATTAACATCCTTAACCCCCTCACCGCCGAGCTTTTAATATATATAAAAAATATCTCCGAACGTGCTAAAGTTACTCTACGGATCTAGAGTTAGAGTAGGTAATTTACACCTCAAGAATTGAAGAGATTTTGTAGGAGGGGGGAGATCTAGACTCGGTTTCTCGGGTCTGGGTTGAGGCTTGTGAGATCTTATTTGGACTAAGTATGGACTTCGAGCTGGCCTAGGTTGGGTTGCGTTGGGGTACTGGATGTCTGAGTCACCTTACTCACTTCCACAAAATATCAAGAACTCCTAAAATAGACGCACTGGTGTGGTGCCTGTACCTTGTACCGTAGTACTGTAGTACTTACACATCCCGTGTCTGTTCACCCGCAACCGTTGAGATGAGGGTAGCGATGGTAGCGATGGTAGCGAGGGTAGGGTAGGTACTTTACCAGCCGCGTGGATGGGCAGGGTGAACACATGGTCGACGTCTGGAATCTGGATGGATGGATATAGAAACGTGGGAGTGTGGGATTGGTGCTATGTTATGCGGATTGAGCGATGAATTGGAATAGGTAATAGACGGGATGGTAGGATTCTGATTCAGATTCCGGAAAGAATTTTGATTTTGATTTTGTGCCATGGTGGACACGTCCTGGTGGGTTGTGGGAATGGATGGGTTGGTATACTGTAGCATGTAGTCGATATAGTTGTGTGGAGTGGGAAGTATCGAGGGGAGAGAGCGACGGCGATTTGTACAGTAGTATCATGGAGGATGAGGTGTTTGTTCTAGAGTAACTTCTTTTTTGTGGGAAGGGGAGGGAAGATATGTGAGCTGAAGAAGAAAAAGATATACCGGTATGAGTTAATATAAGACAACTCGAAACCTTCTTCTCTTAACCAACCCATCAATCACCCCCTCTTCCACCCTCCCTCAAAACCACATCAAAAAGCACTACCACTCCCTGCTATATCCCCAGCTATCACTCACTACACATACAAACCTCCCCATCATCCATCCTTCTTCAATTTTCTCCACCATACTGTAGCACCTCCATCCCTCCAGCCTGCCCAAGAGTTCAAAACAAGAACAGAAATAGAAGTACCAACCAAATCACCCCATGCACCCACAGTAGCTAGCTGAACCCTGTGCTCGCCTCTATAGTGCATACATATCATATCTGTACGCAGGAGGCGTGGAGAACTGGTGGGAAGTGAGGCGGGTGAGGACGGGGAGAAGGGAGGGTGGGTGCCACGTGTACGAGGAAGGACAAGCGGTGGAAGCTGGAGGGGATGGGTGCCGTTGAGGGAGTATTGCGTTAGAGTATGTTGTTTTTTGTGGATGATGTTGTGGTTTCTCTTTGGATGATGGGGGGTGATGTGATGGGTGGATTGGTTGTTAGGATGGAGACTTAGTTAGAGCTTGATGTTATTCTGTTGAGAGTTGGAGGGTTGGTGGATGGATACTCGAGGTCTTCTTATTAGGAAATATCGGTTTGATATTGTTACTTTTGCAAAGATACTCGGATTTGTAGTACGTAATTTAGAATTCGAACCGTTAACTCGTTAAGCGAGTCCTACGAGGAATAGCTCCTAAATCAGAATCTCTACTTTCCCCCCAGAAGCGAAAGTGAAGTCTGAGCCAGCGCACAAAATAGAAGCGCCACTCTAACCACTATCCATTCTTTCCCTCCCAAGCGAATCTCATATCACAGATCTACTTGCCACCACCATATGTCCCTAAAAGCAATTCCCCTCCCTTCCTCTAGAGTACCCATGCCACCATTCTACCATCCCCTTAAACCCACCTCAACCAACCAACCAAAACAACCAAAACAACCATTAAACCCTCTCCAAACCCACACCAAAAAACCCACAATATCATCCTTCACTACTCTACACTACAAGACTCGCACATCAAATCAAATCAACTCACTTCTCCCTTCACACAAGCCATAAATAAAGCCTTACACCACCTACCCACCCACTGGCCTATCCCCCACACAGACACCATTCAGCTCGCACCACACCACCTGGAAGGGACACAAGCCTCGCAACTCACTCCGAGAGTAGTTAGAAACCAGGATGACTCGTCCTGATTATAAACAGCACGTAGATACTGTACGGCCACGGAAGAAATCACGATTTCTGGAATAGAGATAGTATCTTACTGCAGTGACGGTCCTACGGAAGGAAGCCTTTTCTTTGTATCTCCTTCCTTGTAACATTTCACGAGAGTGTACTGTGTGCCATCCCAACTTACAAATTACAAGAAAGAAGAACCGTTTTTTTGCCCCGGATCTGGATGGACGACTAGCAACTGCCGAAGATGTAACCAAGCCAAACCACTCTACCTGAAACTCTGCAATAGCGATACTAAAGAAGGACCACCAGTACGCCCTTCATTGACACGCCCGTAAGCACGGCTCACATATCAACCAAGCATGACCAAAAGAAGAAGAGAGAGAAAAGAAAAAGTCATTTGATTGTGTACTAGTCTACTTCCCCTGCAAGGAAATCCCTCTGCATCCAGTCCTCATTACTCAACCTTCTCGCTCCCTTCCCCCCCCTCCCGCCTCTCCACCACTAATCGACCTTACCTCAAGGGACTCCNTCTGCATCCAGTCCTCATTACTCAACCTTCTCGCTCCCTTCCCCCCCCTCCCGCCTCTCCACCACTAATCGACCTTACCTCAAGGGACTCCCTCCAAACGCAGCCCCCAACCCAGCCTTCCCAGGTGTCCAGCCACTCCCGAAACTCGATCCCGTCCCGGGTGCCAACCCAGCAGGTCTCCTGACCGGCGTCGTAGGACCACTACTGCCCCCAGCTCCTCTCCCAATACCCAATACATGGCCATCAGGAGCAATAGGTGGCGTCTCCGTTCTCTCAATCAGATGGCCATCTTTCTTCGCCGCTGGGGGTTTGTAATTCATCTCCCGACCCGTCCGATAGATATCCGCAAGAATGGTCTCTAGGACGCCAGCATCTGAAAACTCCTGGTATTTGCGGTAGAGCTTCAGAGCTGTTCTTGCATCTTCAATGGAATCGTGGGTTTCAAGTTGGATGTCTTCCTTCAAGAGGTACCAAGCTAGGAAAGCGAGCGAGAGTTTTCTTAGACGAGCTTTGACGAAGAAGAAATCGATCGTGTCGATGACTTGAGATTTGGGGACGTGGATATTGGTTACTCTGAAATCTTGCTTCAGACCGTGACCCAAGAACTTACATCCCAGATTGAGAAGTGTCCAGAGCTTTTTGTAGGCCACTTTCAGAGATACAAGGTTATGTTTTGATAGTCTGGGATCGAGATCTCCGTCGACGATCCCGGAGTATGACGTTAAGTAGTCGACGATTGGTTCTTTACTGGCGATATAGTCGTCGATAAAAGGTAGCCCCTCATCTTCACCTGATCCCCGGATTACGGACACTCGTGCCAGTGCATAGACGATGGGTCGAATCGTTTCTCGTTCTCCATCCGAATTCATTTCTATTTCTGGTTGTCGAACTGCGACAAACTCTGTATCCAGCGCAATAATTGTTCCCTCTCCTGGTGTTTCCTGAGGTACCAAGTTACGGTACGTCTTTTCGCCTGGATTTTTACTGAAATGCTTTGTTAATAAGAGCCCACCTTCGAGAAATCTGCCAACTTACTTGTGATCCACAAAAAGTAGCGATGTATCCAATTTCTGCTTCCAAGAATTATCAATCCGATTATTGGCGACTTTAACTTGGTATGCTATCACAGAAGGAACTTTCCAGGATGTGTTGAATGACAGGGCCTCCTCTGCTTGGATTGGCCGGACCAAAAAGTCGTTGAAGAGATGCCATTGACTCTGTCCTGGAGCCTCAGGCCTAGAATGTGCCACTGTGAAATATGAGCAAAAGAATTCATTAGAAGAGAGGCATCACAAACCGTTTACGAGAGAGACGAGATGGGACTTTTGATTTTGTCCGCTGTCAATGTCCGCTGCGAGGCCGATTAAAGAGTACACCGTGATATTGTGTATACCCCGTTGGAGATGAAGTTTTAGATCCTCGCCTTGATAGCAGAAGAATTGCCCCTGATCCACAATTACCCCTATTTCTTCGGGTAACCAGCCAGGTGTTGCCCAAAGTTGTTTTGCTTCAGGCGTTGTTATGGCTGCGTTTAGCATAAGTACAGCAGGAACGCTGTGTATTGTTCTTTTAGTGGCTAGGGATTGGTATCTTTGGCACCGGCTGCACCATCCACGACTCGTTGTTTCTCGCTCCACACTAGATTTCAAGATTTGGCAAAACGAAACTTTAGGTGCTCGGGCACTTCGAACGGCAATTTTCTAGATACGTCAGTTCATATTCGAGTATAGACCGTGGGAACAAACAGGCAATGGATAGAGTAATTCATTAACAAAGGTTGTGCCAGGTCGCGTATGTTCATTCCGGCAATTCATACAACGAATCGCAGTAGTTGCTGATGTGGCTAGAACCTGTTTTCATCAGCAGTGCATCAAACAACTTCTCTCCGACTTAAATCCTTACATGGTCAAGGGCCGGAGCATATGGAGGGACACTTCGGTAGTCGTGGGTGATTCTTTCCAGTAGGAAACGATTCAATCCTTGCAGCATAGTCGTGAGTGATGTGCCAGGGGCATCTTCTTCGAGAAGACCTAAAGGTCCAGCTGTGAAACGGTATTAGTGAGGCCATGGCCACGAAAAAACTTGCATGCCTTACCTTGAGGATGATTGCTAAATGTCTTTAGCAAATTAGTGGCCTGACAAATTGACCCCTCTGCTTTCTCGAGCATATCAAATAGAAACCCCATTTCGCATAGTAGGCATAAATCATTAATACATGCGGTTGCTGTATGCTGCAACGCTAAGTTCCGCATGAGAGGCGTGAAGTGCATGACTTGAAGTAACGGATTGGCGTATGAATTGGAGATGTGGATTTCAAGACCCGAATAGGTTGTCTTATTGTAAAATCTGGAATTACATGTTAAATAACAAGTACCTTGGGGATACGAAAGCAGGATCACAAACCCAAAATCGAAGTCGTCAACTCCAAACTTGCTATATTTGATCTCCACATTCCGATACATCACAGGAACCTCCGCCTTCATGCTCGAAAGTTCGGTAGCACCAATGGCATCGGCCACATCACTTATTCTGCGTTCTACAACTGGATCGCTGGCTGACTCCCTAGCCTTTTCACTTAAGAATTTAGGAGCTTGGAGGCTCGAGGATGTTTTCTCGGTAGTTCTGGTGTTTTTCACTTGGTTTCTCTTCACGCTACGAGTGTTTCGACTGTATGCACCCCATTCTGTGATCTTTGAAGTGGCCACCACTTGTGGGTCAATTTTCTGTGGCGGGGCACCAATTTCAAATATCATATGGCTTGGCCAGGCAGACAGTAATTGCTCGCGATAGTAGGGCATACCAACGCTATTCAAAGGCCTTTGAAACCATTAGTAAAGTTGACGGACGGATCTTCATGGGAAAAACTTACGTATCGACTTTCCAATCGAGTGGTTGGGGAGTTTCTTCGGCATCAGCAAACTCGACTGGATTACTGAGCTCAGCAAATCTCACTCGAGAAGGCGAGCCCCAGAGATGTAAATTACACTCCTGGTCTGCTAATAAAATGGCTTCGCCTGAAGGCGCTATCTCCATCATAGTCAAATAAGACAATACATTCGCCTGTCTCACATTGCTGGTGTTTACGTTCATCAAATCGACAATGTGTATCTGACCAATCTGGGACACAACGATACTTGTGGTAGACATTCGGGGATGCATTCGAACATATGCTGCGCCAGCAGGAAAGGGAATCGGGGACATGGAATTCATATTTTTCAAGTCAAATACATTGACCAGCGGGTCGAGCATGTATTGCTGTTGCGGCCTAAAAGAATAGCCGCAAGTGACAATGAAATCATGCTGGGCATCCATATCATTTATACCTGACGAGTGAGCATTCCATGTTTTGACCAGCTTGAAAGTGGTAGAATCGAGGATATTGACCGCTCCCACCTTGGTCGCAGCGCATATATATCGGCTTCGTTTCAAGATGGTGTAATGATCTGGTGTCGGGATCTAATACTTTAGCTGAAATCTCCAAATCAGGAAGACTATGTGCTTTTCTACCTGTTTGGTAATAGTTCCCTTGTCCACATCAATGATGAACATCTGATCCTGCAACCCTGCCACCAATATCGCGGAAGTGCCTTTGGAGGTAAAAGTCATACACCGCAAATCTTTCATTTCATCATGACTACTGTCAATCAGTTCCCATTCCCGTTACTCAATTGCTGGTGTGCAATCATACGTTATATGCCATAGTGGCGGACCCCTTCTCGTTGCCATGTGCACACTCTGCGTACATAAAGCTATCACTCCCTTATCATGTACTAACAGCTGCCGCACTGGTCCATCGCCGGCCTTGAAGGATGTGTATCGTGTCAGCTCGGTGCCGTAGAAATTCGAGACGCGACCGAACTCATTTCCAGCCCAGATGAGCTCTTGCGCCGTGTCGAAGGCGGTGGAATAAACTTGCGTGGGTACGACATTCTGCCCCGGTGGTGGGAGTAGCAGACGCCCGACCTGGAAGGGGGGAAAAGATCAGTAAATGGTATAGAAATGGTAGAAATGCCATTCCAACGGGAAGTGGTTCTTATAAGGCTACCCCGCCCAAAGACCAGGAAGTTGAGGATTCTACGATCTGTATTCAGTTTTGGACCAGGATCAAAACTTACTTCCTCCCAGTCGCCATCCATCTATGCAATTCAGTTCATCTTATCAATCCATGATTGTGCCATCAGAAGATGTTCACCACATAGAGATCCAGAGGTAAGGTAATGCGTACGGATTCTGCCGCACTGATTGACTCTAGCGCGTCCCTCATACCACACACCGCCCTACTCACGTGCTGATATCAAGAAGCCGGGTAAAAAGTAAAGCTTCACAGGCCTCCCTGATCGGACCGCGTCTCATCTCTATTGAGTTCGTTTCACCAAGTGCTCAAGCACGCCAACAGCAGCTACCTAGCTAGTGCGAGTATAGCTGAAGCTTGATCCTGTTGTTTCTTTCGTAGCATGTCATCTCATGTCATTTGTGTTATTTATGTCCTGTGACCATCCTCAATCCCCTCCTTCAATCTTGTTCCTCTTCCCTTGTTTTTGCATATACGTTCAAAGTATACTGGTATCACCGAGATTCCAGCTTGAACCTTAAAGCCCACCATGAATTTCTACCATTCCGCATTTATATTCCTGACATCCAGCTGTGGTCTCCTAACATGGCAACAATATCGCAAACGAGAAGAGAAGCCGGATGAGAAGAGAGACAACCAGCCTTCGGTTACCCCTCGAGCAAAGGTTGAGGCCAGAGAGTTCCAACGGCTTTTCTTGACCGTGTATTGCCTGGTAATGGCATCAGATTGGCTTCAAGGTATGCTAGTATAAAGATTGAAAGTTCAAAACTGAATCTCATAAACCTTTCAAGGACCGTATGTGTACAGTCTTTACAGAGATCAATTTGGTCTCGGAGAACGCGCCGTCGGTCTCCTCTTCATGGCGGGTTTCCTCTCTGGAGCTATCTCTGGCTATTTTGTTGGCCAATTTACAGATGCCTATGGCCGCAAGTCGGCATGCTTAATATTTTGCATCATCTACTCGACCGCCTGTTTCTCAACGCTGGTTCCTAGTCTCCCGATTCTACTTTTTGGTCGAGTCTGCAGTGGATTGAGTACTAGCTTGATGGTCAGCGCATTTGAAAGCTGGATGGTTACCGAATATCATAAGAGGCGAGTGGACCAGGCAGGAATAAGTTTGGGCAGCATGTATGGAATTATGCAGACTCTGAATAGTATCGTTGCTATTATCTCGGGAGTATTTAGCGAATGGATTGTCGAGATGACCGGTACGAAGAGAGCACCTTTCATGGCAAGTGCTGGCCTTCTTGGGGTTGCTTTCTGGGTTATAGGGTTATACTGGGTAAGTTTTCTTATCTTCTTTCTGTCCTCATCATTTTCCAAAGACAAAGCTATGGGAAAACTGTAAAGGGGGGGTTGCACGTGCTCAAGATTCAGGAAGTCTTCCAACGTTTGGGTGGATGACCACAACTCTTTCCTTCTCTTTCTGATTTCTACAATTTCATTACAGAGACTTTTGTCCATTCTGTAATATCAAGGCCCCAATTAAACTAATATGCAAGCCAAATGCTGCGTCAAATCAATATTCCCTCACACTGAACTGATACATCGCAGACCGAAAACTATGGCGACAGTCGCACCCAAGACCCGTCTGCCTCCAATAACTCCAGAAACCAACCCCCACCCCCACCCAATCTTCGCACAATATTGACAGACAAACGAATCCTCGCACTCGGCCTGGCATCCTGCATCTTCGAAGGCTCCATGTACCTCTTCGTCTTCTTCTGGAGCCCCGCTCTCCACACAGCCCACACTTATTCCTCCACCCACAACACCCCTCTACCCCTCGGTCTAATATTCGCCTCCTTCATGACCTGCTCCATGCTCGGTTCCCTCATTTTCTCCTTTCTCTCTTCCCCATCATATACTTCGCTCTCTCCGTCTCGCCTTCTCAGTCTCCTCTTTGCCACGGCTTCCTCGTCATTGCTTTTAACCACCATGTTGAAAGATGAAAAGGCTACCTTCTGGGCATTCTGTGTCTTTGAGATTTGTGTGGGTATGTACTGGCCCTCCATTGGGACTTTGAAAAGCAGGGTAGTGGAGGATGGGGTGAGAGCGAGGATCTATGGGATTTTGATGATTCCGTCAAATGTTTTTGTCGTTGTGGCTTTGGCTTTGATTAAAGAGGGAGAGGAGTATCGAAATGGGGTTTTCTTGATGTGTGGGGGTTTGTTGGTTCTTACTTCTGGGGTGTTTCATTGGACTGTTAGGGAATAGAGGAGATGGTTGGGGTTGATTTGTATAATACATGAGAGGAAGTGGGTGTTTAGGAATCTAGATTAGAGTAGACTTTGTGGAGCATTGAAAAGTATTACTAGTTTAGGTCTGAGGCATGGGTATATGAATAAATCAGTTCAACTCTTGGGCACATGTGTCTTTGAGGTATACTTGCTCCAATACCAGCAAATTCATTTTCCTGAAACACCTCAAGTAAAATAACTTGACAGATACTGTTTAGCTAAACACCCAACAACGTGTATATAAATATACGTAAGATGACGATACCCCCATCTATATGACCCAATTATTACACTAACAACATTCCACGTAAAAAAACGTCAGATCTCATAGGTAGTAGTTCGTTTCTTGGTATTCGAAGAGACGAAGGTCACTGTAGACCAACTAGGCTATAAAATAATAGAAAGCTGCTAGCTAAGAGCCGTATACCTCTTGTACGAGAATACCTATTAATCAAAAGGCTGTGAACTGCGCTGTTGCATACGAGCGCCAGCCAGCCATACCTAGAGCAGCCTAAAGCTCTACTCCTGCGTCAATAAATACTACCAAAAAGGCGAAAGACGATGTACTAGTGTTACATATACAGAATGGAATCTTTATAAGTAATAAACCGATAGCCAGCTCTAAAAGAACGTATTACTGCATCTACAATCATACTGGTTCATAATTAATACTAGATCTTCAACCCATATAGTTCTGTTTCCTTGCCGTCCGAAGCATGTCCGCAGTGCTATCCGTTTATATTATTTTACGTTCTCTCTTTAAGATCAAAAGCGGGAAATCTGTAGTGTAGTCCTTTTCATTCAAATTCGACACTTGGCTATACTCGTGCTCGCTTAGGAAAAGGGGTTCTTTAGCTGGTTATTCCGTAATGAGGAAGTGCGTCCCGTGGGAATACATCTCAGGAGAAGCGAGATTTTAGATTGCAAGATGCTTGCTAGAATTATAGCTCTTTTTGGTTATGGAATTAGTAAATGTTAAAACGTTGGAATGATACTTGTTTTATTTTCATCAATTTTTTACATGGAGAATATGCATAGAAGAAATGAGGGGTATATGTATGGTAGAAGTATTTCTCAAAATGGGCCCTCTTTACTCGTCGACGCGTCGTTATGGTAAAGATGATTCTCGTATTACCACAAAAGATACAGATACAGGAAATGATTGCCATGAAAGTGTTTAAAATCTTTAAATATTCCTGTGGTCTATAGTGATAATTATACACCAAATTATGCCAATCAACGCCGACCAAGCCCCGTGAAATGAGTAACATAATTACGCCAATGCCCTGATTCCCTTCCGCTAATATCAAAATGTCCTAGTTCGGTTGAGTCGGTTGAGCCGATTCAGTGGCAACTCATCGATATCCTCATGTTTCTTCTTCTGAAATCTTCCAGCAAGCCAATATTTCACACCCCGCTTCAGCATTGCTGGATGAGGACATAGCCAAGCGATGATACCAACAATGACCGTGAGAGAGCCAACGACGATACCTGCAATCTCGCCCTGCGTGAGTATATTTGCTCGTTGTTTGGATGAGGGTGGAACACTAGTCGCTTCTGGAAGTGGTGAAGGCGCTAATGATGTTGGCGGTGGGATTGCTGAGGAGGCTGGAGTTGGTATTAAGAAGGGTGGTGACGTGGTTGTTGAGAGTGAAGAAGTGGTTGTACTTTCGGCTGCTGCTGAGGCTGGTTCGTCGCGGTAGGCCTCGGCTTCTGATCCATCGAAATCACACCCGTAATAAATTACCGATTCCCTGGCAAAACCCTCTTTGTCTTGGATGTCGATAGAATAACATCGTTTATTGCTGGGACTTTGATAATAACTTCGTATCAGTAAATGTGTCTTCGACAATGCACAGTTTTGAAAGTTCTGGCATGTGACCGCGCAATGCGAAGAAGTCGCGCACGACTTTGGAGGGCTCCACCTCAACTCGCCTTGGGACAAGATAAGTTTACATAATCGCTCGACTCACCAAGGGGTAGGCCAATTCGTTCTCGAAGTATCTATACACGGGTTGGCATCTAGAGATGTCACAGATGCCAAAGATGCCGTTCGTGCACATTGCCCTCGAGTTAGAGTGCTGTTCTCTACCACAACAAAGTAAGTGCTTGATTTTGGACAATACCAATTACCATCTATGGCAGAGTTAACTTGTATTTGGCAAGAGAACCCATTGCAATCTCAGACATACATACACCACTCCCCTTCCTGGTCCAACCAATTGTCCCGGGATTGTCTGATTTCCACCAGATCTTTATTGAGGCCGTTGTATTGTTGTGCACAGTTGTTGTATATATTGGATCAGGCTCCTGTGATACAGTTCTATGGATCAAAGCAAAAGCCAACCACAAAATGATTTTTGCTGACATGACGACCAAGAACCATCGGTGACAGAGGTCGCTGTCGAAGCCCCAAAGCGGCAAAATGAAAGGAGACACTTGAAAGCCACGAAATTGAAAACGAAAGTATGGAATTTGCACAAAAGAACGATAGATGGAGAAAGAGTGTCCACAGAGACTCCACTTTAATAGAACTACTCGATTCAAGGGTCACGGTGCTTAGCTTTTGCTGCCTGTATGGAGCAACGGGGGCTGTAAGCCTCCGATTGAGGCGCATACAATGTGGAGTGGGAAGAAAGAATTATCTAGTGGGTGTCAGAAATAGACAGCAGAAGCGATTGGCTACTAGAACTTGGGGGACCACCAATTAGGTGCCCTCTTACATGCAGTCTTCAGCTGGTCTGGCTCCTGTTGGGGTATTGATAAAGACAGTCCTCACTTGGTATGAACCAACTTCACTTGAAGTATTTCTAGTTTCCCAGGAGAACTCACAACAACAAATTGTTAATCAATCACTTTTTGCCTAAATTCTGCCAACATGATAACAAACTGAAGAGCCAGTCTAACTGCAAGCCAAATCATACATCACAACGAAAGTTGCCAAATAAAAATGTCTCAAAGAAGTGAACGGTGACCGAAGAAGAAGCAAGAAAAAGTCTCGGAAATTTCTACCACTGTAAAACGGTTTTCAAAGCCCGCTTATGGTGCTACAGACCGTGGTGAGACAGTTTTTGAAGCTTCAAACTTACTATATAACATGGCAGAAGGGCCAATTAGGGAGCGTACACTGCAACCTCTCTAAAGCAGGTGCATATCATTGTCGTCAGCAGCCAAGGAGGAAGACAAGCGCGGTTGCCTGCTTACATGGATTTCAAGTTGGGGGGCTATTTATTTAAGCGAAGGGTTGTTGTCACAGAGTCCTGCTTCGCAAGAAGGAAGAAGAATCCTTTGTAGTTGATACCGAGTAATATACGTCTTTCCAGATACATTATAGACTTGACTGAATGGATTCTGACCGGTAACTTTTCATTTTTATCTTTGCCCAGCAAAAGCTGGCACTAGGCTATCAAACACAATGTCGACGAAGCTGTAGACTTGTTGAATGCCGTTCATTGTTGAGATTTGATGACGACGCGTTCTACAAGGCTGTTTCTAAAACACATCCATACCAGTAAATGTTGCATGCGGCTGTTCTCAGCTGCTGAAGAAGGCTGCAGATTTCCCCGCAGTAGTGCGCAAAAGGAAAATAGTCTGGCCCCTTCGAAGGAAGCCCAGAGCATATACGGATTAGAGCTGAGGAATTTCTGAGATTCTGTGCTACAACTAAGCCATCACCGAGTACCTGGCTTGGGCTGTCATCCACTTGGCGCGAGAACGTGGCTCAACTCCCCGTGGCTACCGGTAACTGTCACAGCCTAATTGCAGATTGCCTTCCCGAGGAAAGAAGACATTGAACTTTCAACACAATCTCCAATATTCTGAATTCAAATCATCAAGAAAGAGAGAGTGTGTGTCTCTAGAGAGAAGAACAGTATTTTGTCTATTCAAAGATCATTATGCGTTTCCTCGAATACCTATCATAATAGACTTAGCTAAATATGTCATGGTATACGGACCCCAAAGAAGTGTCTAAAGGACACCAGGCTAGAATTCCACAGTTGCAGCCCCCCTTTCATATCACAATGGACTCATGTTTTACCGCCCTCCTTGCCAGATATCTTACCCTACAACTCAATTCTCAAACTCCTCAAATCAATGACCTCACGCCCCTCAATCAACAACCACAAACCCGACAACTCCAAGAATCCCATTAGTACAGCTAAGGAGCCTCGTATGATCTCTTTTGCGCTGGAAAAATCCCCATCAGAACTTTGGAGATTGAAGCATTCAAGAAGAAGCAGCTTAGGGTGGCAATATATATATATACGGTGAACGTAGTTCACTAGCAAACCTACTACTAAAACAGTGTTCACTTTATAGACAATAGTTCTGTCGCTAAAGAAGTAGTATTTCTATCAGTTGAAAGATCCACTTGCTCATAGGACTTCATAGGGCAATATATCAAGGAATAATGAACACAGTAAGTCAGTCCACTACTTGCTACTTCCTAAAGCCTGGCAAGCCAGTTCTCTGATATTTTGGCAGCAGTTGAGATAAGTATTTCTTGCTCGTCCCCTTGCGCATAGCGTAAGTTCCTACGTCTATTTACTTAGTACTTTACAATCGGAGGATGCGAAAGTACAAGTAAGAGGTTATGAACTAGTACGTGTACGAGTGGGGGTATTCCGGAGTCTTGACACCTGGTCCTTCAGGTGTTATATCTATCCCTTCGAAGGACTGCCAGTAGAATAAGAGCCAAAAGCTTCCTTGATTTCAGGCTAGGGAGTATAGAGGACAAGATTGACAGGAATACGACTACGACATGGTTACAACTTGTAATGTTCATTAAGTTTGTATTTAGATCACATATAGAATGTTTTCAGTAGGTCTGAGTCGTCTGACGAGTGATGTCCACTACGTAGAACAGACGCATGGAACACGACCTAATGAAACCTCTCAACAGTATCCCAGCAAGCACCCAAAAAAAGGGGAGCTTATGCCAGGGCTATTTAAACCTGGCTCCCACTCAAAGCAGTTGGCTGGACAGTCATCTGCTTACAACCCTCATTCCAGTTATCATGGCACTCTCGGAACTCCACTTATTCCCTTCAACATAAAACAAAAAAGTCGTACGTATGCGGTAGCTCTATCCGCCAAAGAATTATTAGATAGCATTTCCGCCGTGATTAAATAGTTAAGTGGTGTTTACTATAGTCGTTTACAGATATATACCTATCACAATAGCACGAACAAGTGATGCCTAGACGAAATGTCAAGCCAAAAAAAAAGAATATAAAGAACCAACAACCTGAACTCAACGCATCAACCCAATTTCTCAATTACACTCGAACCACCTCCACACATCTCCGACGAACTTCCCAGATTATAGCTAAGCCCAAATATCCTAGAAGTATGCAATCATATCACAGTACCGCGGCAGAGTAGCAACTTCAGAAACAACGCTTTCACCCAATCAACCCCAATATTGTATAGCTGACCTTTAACATCAGTCTATCCAGCCATCAGTTTACTAAAAAAAAATAGCACCAGATCCACCCTGGTGGTCTGAACACGGGAACTGCCCCCGGAATTTAGGCGCGCCATGTACTAATTAGCTGCCTTGATATCTTGAATAATATATCGAGTATCATTTATCTAGACCAAACCAATCATCCCCACCCGCATACCAGAAACCCGATGGTAATTCTGTCTTCCTGTCGAAATACCTCTACCCTCTCAAAATAACCCCTTACATTTCTCGAAGATACCCAAGAGGAAATCCAAGGCTCGATATTCCCTTCGACTGGGAAGCCTCATATGAAATTTCAGACTCGTGCTCTGTGTCAAAAGTACCTGCGTGAGAGTCCCTAACCACGAATGTACAGACAGGCGATGACAGAATGACAGTGTTCGCTTCCTGCCCCCTTGAGAGAAGCCACATAAGGAGCCTTATATCCCACAGCAACCCCAAAAACACCAGTCATATGAGCCCCGCACTACCCCAGCTTCCATTTTTCACACACACGCACACACTAAAGTCCTCAAACGAATTTGAATAAGCTTTGATTCCTAATCCTAATACCAAAGGTAAAGGCACCAGTGATCTAAAAAGCCGGAGAGAGAAAAACAACGCCCATGCACGCTAAACCTCGGGACAACAATTAAAAAAAGGAAGAAAAAGGGGGTGCACAAAACAGCCAGCAAATATCCTTGCGAGAAAACAAGCGAAGTGGAGAGAGGAAACAACAAGGGCAAGAAACCTTTCCCCCAACTATAAACCCCATATCCCATATCCATTCCCCCTCACCCCTACACAATGCCATATAAACAAACACAAACACTGGTGAAATATGCGTGGGTGAAGTAGAAGAAAAAACCAGAGTCCCTTATTGACGGTGTTGCCCGAATACCTCAAACTAGATTATATGACAAGAGTTGAGTTGGTATCGGGAAGAACGAAAGGTATCAATCATACTTCCTCCATCGTGCCGGCTGGTTCGTCATCCTCGTCGCCGAAACTCCCGACTGAGGACATATCGTCGTCGTCGTCCGATTCCGCTCCGGCCTCGTCCGCTGCGTCCTTACTGGCGTATTTGACCACGTACTCTATCACCCCATTAACTTCCACTCCAGTAATTTGGAACACCATATCACCCACCCTTGACCTTAGCATCATAGCTCTTTGGTTCTCGCATCAACAAAGCCGCCGCCTCTCCGTTCAAAGGATCCGTAGGGTTTGGGTATCGAAGAAGTTGTGGAAGGAAGACTTCGAAGATATTGATCATGTCGAACATAGCCGACCAGGTCTGATTAATGACATCGAGACAGACAGATCCGGACCTAGAATTTTATACTATTAGAGGGCCTTCATACGCTGGGGAAAAGCCATACAACTCATCAATGTTGGGGTGGAAAATGCGGTTGACGAAGCCGATGCTGGGCGATTTGTATGGGTATTGATCTGGGAGTTCGACGTGGACTTTCCAGCATCCGCCTTGAAAGGGAGCTGTCCATGTATCAGTCTGTATGTCCTTATATTTTCTGCCAGAGTCCACATACTCTCCTCGGGACCCTTGAATCGAACGTAGAATTCCTGCCTGTGATTTCATCATGAACATGTCGTCGTCGTTTATGGAAAGGGAGACTCATACACTAGGGAGAGAATTGTTAGCGAGAGTCGAAATGTAGCTTGGGAGTATAAACCTACTATTGTCGTTGACCAAAGTAACTTCATAGTCACTCATGAGCCTGTGGCGGGGTAAGTACATGGGGGAAGTTGAAGGACTTCCAGAGTGCATACATCCTAGATTAATTAGCAAAATGCTTATGCCAGAAAACTTGGGGTACAACATACTTCATGACCTGCAAAGAGAGAGCCTCCAGTCAGCCTCTTACACTCGCAGATTCCATGTGTTCTTTCACTCACATCAGTCTCGATCCGGCGTCTTGGGCTGGACATCGTTGCGGTTCTTTTTGGAGGGGGTTTCGGTGGTCCGAAGGGGAAGTTTGGTATGCTTATCGAAGAGTATGCAGAAAGTTGATAGTTCTCGAAATGGTGGGAGGTAACGCTGGAGAGTTGAAAGAGTGGCGGGGTTGGAGGTTATGTTGTAGTTGAGGTGGAGTTGTGTCTGAATGACGCCCGTTTTGATAAGAGGCTTTATCGCTCCGGCGTTTGTCGTAGCGAAACGGATACCAATTATCATTCACAGCCAACAAGGTTACCCGGAACTCGATACAACGCCACAACAAAGAACAGGATAGGTGCTAGACTAGGTGCTTCTGAGGCTGGATTTGGTTCGTTTGAGAGTTTACATCAGAATATTCACAAGGAACTTATAGCTACTTGGATATTTATAGTTACATACGTTTTCTTATTCCGACATCTAGTTTCTTCTCAATTGAGCGAATGAGTTTCCAACGAAGCAAACAAATTCTCGGCTAAAAATTGCCATCCAGCGTGGCTATGAGTACATACATTACCTAGTGAATGTGCTATATTGCAAACAGTTCCTGTATTCATCAGGAGTCACAAGGTACAGCCGAGGCTCAATAATCATCAACCGCTCGCTTACTGCAACCGATTGAGCATAATAAGCCACCGACTGGAAGACTAGGTCTAGGCCACATACTCTGGAACGAGTCATATGAAGATCTCAGGCTCTCAGCTAAGCCTCTCCGGCGGGCTGGACTGATAGACAAAGACATCTCATGACATTTCGCTCAGTAAGAGTTAGCCCAAGGCTCAATGTCGGGACAAGCTTCGCTACTTGAGAAAGACCCGCCATGCCTCAAAAATCTGGGAGTCAGTATGGATTCCACAGCGTGGAAGTCATCACGACAACTGTTAACAAAATCAATTGTCAGCTCAAACAATGGCGTTTGCTCTGCTTCCTTCTTACAAGATTCATCCGAATCATCGTGATTTCATCAATCCAACCCACTCGCGCTAACTCCCATCATGTCGCGATCGATATCCATTGTGAAAGGGTCTCGTGCGCTCTTTAAACAATATACACGACCGGCTTCTTGCACTCCTTTCGCTCCCTTGCTATCGCAATGGCATGTCAGAAATAGCTCCCATTCTCCCATGGGTTCCGCGGGCGGAAACCTTCGAAAGAAAGTTACTCTCAATACCCTCCGTGCGTTGTATAAAAAAGGAGAACCAATTACTGTCCTGACTGCCCATGATTTTCCCAGTGGACATGTCGCTGATGCGGCCGGCATGGAAATAGTTTTGGTTGGGGATAGTCTGGCTATGGTAGCAATGGGAATGGAAGACACAAGTGAAGTCATCTTAGAGGAAATGTTGTTACATTGTCGTTCTGTCTCTCGTGCTGCGAAAACCTCCCTTCTTGTAAATTACCCCTCCATACACCAAATTACCCCGCTAACATTTTCAGATTGGCGATATGCCTATGGGATCATATGAGATATCCCCTGAACAAGCACTGGAAACAGCCATCAAATTTGTCAAAGATGGCCGTGTTCATGGAATTAAACTCGAAGGCGGGATCGAAATGGCACCAACAATTAAAAAGATCACAAGTGCCGGAATACCCGTCCTGGGTCACATTGGTCTAACACCCCAACGTCAAAACGCCCTCGGAGGTTTCCGTGTGCAAGGCAAAACTTCTGCCACTGCCATGAAAGTTCTCGAAGATGCACTTGCGGTACAAGAAGCAGGGTGTTTTGCGACCGTCCTAGAAGCAGTTCCCGCCGAAGTTGGAGCCCTCATCACAAAGAAACTCTCCATTCCCACCATTGGCATTGGCGCTGGAAACGGCTGCTCTGGACAAGTTCTAGTCCAGGTAGATATGACTGGGAACTTTCCGCCAGGCCGATTCCTTCCCAAATTTGTCAAGAAATATGGAGATGTATGGAGTGAGAGTATGAAAGCAATCGAAGCGTACAGAGACGAGACCAAAAGTCGTGCCTATCCTGCCCCCGAACACACCTATCCCATACCTAAGGCCGAGCTCGAGGAATTCGAGAAAACTTTGGACGCATATCGAAATTGATTCTAATTTTGGAAATTTCCTTTTGGTGATATCGTAGAGGCCGGGGGTTTTTTGCTTCATATATTTGGAGGCGTTTGTTTAGATTCCCGTCGCAGGATATCATTTAGAAAGGGTGGCACCCGTCGTACATAGAGAGCATAATGCATAGTCAAATTCAAATCGGAAGTGGTTTTCGTTTCTTCATCCAAATGCAGGTGTCATGGAATAGGCTATAACAAGCTGGTCCTTGGAATCCTTAAAACACTGTTCAACAATCGTCAGCCTCGTCCCGCAAACCCCCATCCCACCAAATCCAGAGAAGATAGAAGAACCAACTCACTCTATGTAAATTCCCCACAATCTCATCCAACGCCGGCGCAAAACTCGAGTTCACATACAAAAACACGCTATCCCCCTCGCCCACCCGCAGCTTCTTCCGCAGCCACGAAACCACCGTCTCAAAGCGCTGCGTACTCGTAATCGTCACCACGGGCTTCTGCAGTATCGGCGCACTCCCTATAGGACGGAATTGTACGGTGACTTTGGGTTTGGGGAAGTCGCCTGCGTTCGACAGGGCGCTGGCTGCATCGCGGGGTAGGTGTGTGAGGATCATCGAGCACGCCATGGTTAGTGGCAGGTCGGGTTCTTGCGCGGTGTCGGGAATGGCATTTGTTGGATCTGGGGGAGAGGGACTAGATAGCGGGGAAGCCATTTTTAAGTTGAGGTTCGTTTTGTTTTTGTGAAAGGGTGTACGATGTTTGAGGTTGTGTTGCGTGAGGGAAGTTGTGTGAAATGACGAGAGACGAGGCTGTGGTTTTGAGGTTCGAGTGTGCTTCAGTGCAACCTGGAAGGTTACAGTACAGTAGCAACGTCTGGGTAGTGAATTCCCCAACATGCGACCAGATAAGTGAAGGTAAATGCTTAAAGTGTTTTTCAATGTCGCACTAATTTGTTCTATTCTACATCTATAATACAAATTGTAACATTTAACTACGCAATGCTTCTATATCAACAACTTCCTTCACAGCCTCTGTGGTCAAAACCAAGGCGGTGTCAGGCTGGACACATACACTATCCTCGATCCTGATGCCTATTCCACGAAAATGTTTCGGCCATCTTTCATCTTCTGGAATATATATTCCTGGCTCAATAGTGATACAATGACCAGTTTTGATGTTAACTGATCGGGCATATCCTGGGCAGTCGTGCACATCCAATCCAACGTAATGGCCCACATGATGAGGGAATAGAACATTCATAGCATCTCCAGAGGTATCGAATCCAAGTTGCTTCAACGCGTCTTTGAGACCGTTGTGGGTAATCTTATGGATGCCATCCAATGACAAATTGGAACTTTCTCGGCATAGAGCCACACTAGTTCTCTGTACTCGAAGGATTGCTTCATAGAGATCTTTCTGGGGACCCGAGAACTTGCCATTGATGGGCCAGGTCCTTGTGATGTCGGCAATGTACCCTCCATACTCACCGCCAGCATCAACAAGAACAATATCACCATCCTTTAGGGTAGCATTATTCTGGACATAATGAATGGCTAATGCGTTTTTGCCTCCAGCAATTACTGGAACATACGCAGAAGCTTCACAGCCACCGATTTTGAAATCATAGTCCATGAAGGCACCTAGATCTTTTTCCTTGGTAAAGTGCTGACGCATGGCATTGGTAAAAGTCCTTCCGGATATCTTACCGGCGATACGCATATTGGCGATTTCTGCTGGGCTTTTGATGACCCTTAAGTCGTTCATTAAAGGCCTTAGTGGTCTGATCTTGCTATTTTTAATCATTTTTTGAAAGTCATTTGGTGGTGTGCCTGGATTCTTGAAGAAACGGCTGAATCCAGTACTTTTTGCTACATCTGTGAATACTTCCCCAGCACTACTGATAATTGGGGGAAGTAAAGAGCCCAGGTTGTTCACATCACCCGACTAGAAGTAAATCAGTATATGCCACAGTAGATATTGAAAGAAAAGGCACCTCATCAGCATTGAAGACATCCAGAGCTGCTTGTTCTCCGGAGCGAGCTCCATCCCATAGTTCCGCTGTAGCATCCTTCGGCCGTAGAAATAAATGGAAAACGTAATCTGCCGTGGATCCAACCTTCTGTATGACTGCTACAGCGTCCGGCTCGTTGAATCCAGTTAGATAAAGAAAATCTGGATCCTGATGAAACTCATAAAACACAGCTCCCGAGCGATATTTGATATCTGACGAAGAAAGAATAGCTACGCCATTGTGCGGCAGGCTAGCGGCAAGCTTCGATCGTCGGTCCGCGTATTCTTGCGCAGTAATTCCAGGTGTGACTATGACGAGAATCAGAGAGGCTTCCTGGTATAAGTTGTGTGCAACGTACTTTCTCCCGCCTGGAGTAGATGGGGATGGGTCTCGTGGACTGGCTGGCCGAATTGAAGTTCTGCTGCAGAAATGGAAGCATAGGATCGCCTACTAGAGCAAGCGTTTGGAAGGGTGGAGGTGGTTGGTCTCAAGGCTGTTTGCACACTGCAGACATTGTGACGTGCAGCTTGCTGTGATGCGTTCGTCTTTGATCCGTAGGTTCGTCTGCTTGGTGTTTTTGGTGTTAGACGTGGTGTGGACGATAGCAATTGGCGTAGAGCAGGCCTCCCAGGTAGCTTTGCTGCCATTGTGAGATGGGATAGTAACAGAGAGCTGTAGCAGCACCACCAATTTGAATATATGAGGCTCAGTTGTAGAGGTTCGTCATGACGCCCAGGCGTGTGCGTGGTACTTGCGGAAGGCGCAATATCCACAAGGTTTTTTAGCACATCGGCGGGAAAACAAGCATAACCCAATGCTGTGCAGAGTGAGGGTGGCTGCGTGGATGACCGTTGCCATGCCAGATTATTTTCTGGCATGATCTAAACCTAATCAGGCCAACTTGGGTGGATAGTGCCGTGTAACCTAGCAGGTCGGTCCAAGGCGCGTCGTTGGTGGTAGCGTGACAGGCTACGGCGGCCTAAGCCAAGCTTCCAGTGTGCTGAGTAAAGCTCTCCAATGCTTTTGTTGATCCAACCTCACGACCGACCACCCACCGACACACAAAAACATCGCCGCCCTCCACACGCCCGCCAATCCCAACCTCCAACCGACCCAATACTCCCCTCCCATCCCAGCATCCTTTCCACCACGCTCCTTGATTCTCTCGCACTTGCGACTGCTCCTCCATTGACCGACGCAGCTTCAATCATCCTTTTCAAATGCCTTTATAATCCCAATTCTGCTGGTCCGACGTGTAGAGTCGCGTGTGCACCCCACTCCTTCCTACGGCATTTTTGCTGGGAGAGTGTTTGGTGTTGGGACAGTACTCTCTTATGGCAGCAGTATTAATATCACCTCCACCTGCGAAAAACACGCTTCTTTCCACCATGTCGGCGAGGAGAGCTCCTCTCCACAACAATACCAATGCCGTCAATTCTCCCTTTCGTCCCACTGACGCACAATCCAAGCCAAAACGCTCCTATGCCACCATCCAACGCGAGGAGTCCTATGGCCAGCCACCACCTGCAAAGAAGCAGATGCTGGAGAACCGACAAGCATTGAAAACACCACCGCGTCAAAATAACACTAATACCCATTATACTGCAGAAGGTCGAGTCTTCCGAAAACCAAACAATGTCCCACAAAGGACCGCATTTGAACGCAAATGTGCTGCCACCAGAGTCAAGACACAATCGCAGCACGCAGAGTCTAGGGAAAAGGGGCAGGAACTTGACACAATCAGACAATGGCAGAGGCACTACCGGAAAATATTCCCAACATTTGTGTTCTACTTTGAGAGCATACCCGATGACAGCCGAGCCAAATACACAAAGCAGGTGATCGCGCTTGGTGGAGTAAGTACTTCTTGTACATGGTAGATGTGGAGGATTCACTAACAATTGATCCAGCGAGAAGAGAAGTTCTTTTCCAACGCGGTCACCCACGTTGTGACGACCCGAAGCATTCCTCCTGAACTTCCAGCAGAAGTAGCAGTGGCGTCCTCAACCACCACTGAGTCTAATTCCCAGAACAGTCAGCCTCAAACAATCAATCCATCGCTGCTCGATCGTTCATCCGAATCCACAAACGTACAATCCGACTCCTTTTCCGGAAAAGGAAAATTTTCAATCGATCCTCAACTCAACAGACGGCTAGGAGCTCATGTACACGATGTAGAAGTTAGGCGGCAGCAAAACCGTAGCTCAGATGTTCTTGTTCGGGCGAGGGAATTGAACATGAAGATATGGGCGCTTGAAAAGTTGCAACGAATTATGACTACCATGTTCGATACGGAAACAGGCCTTCAAATACCCCATGGGCACAACACGCGAAGTAACGCAGCTGGAACAATTCCCCGAGGCACTGCAGACCTTGCACAAGTCCTTCGCAATGAAAAAATAAACGGGCCGTCTGATCGAGATCCCACCGTCGCGACAAAGGAACTGTGTATTTTCAAAGGACCCTACATATACATTTACGATATCGACGAGAAGCAACGACCGATTATGGTTCGCGAGTATCCTAAGGTTGCACACAAGGAACTAGGGGAATGGCCACAGTTTCGTAGTGTTACTGGTGGCAGGTGTCCATTCGTTGAGGAACCAGAGAGTCGACGAGACGCCGAAAGAGAGAAGGAACAGATTCGACTCCAGAGGCAAAAGGAAAAGGAGAAGGCTATGGCACCAAGAGTTACCAGGGCAGCGAGTGCTGGTCAAAATGCTAAGATGCAGCCACCAACCTCTTTCAATAAGCAAGTCATGACTGAAGCTGACAATAGTCACAACAAAACTGCCACTGTATCCTCGAAACAAGCCAACATATTCGCTCCATCCAAGCCGTCCTATTCACAGCAACGTAACGACTCGGAGGCCTCACGTGGAAATGCTTTTGTTAGCCGTGCTGGAACGGGACGCCTGCTGGCGGGAGAGCCGGTTGCTTCAGGATTACAGGCCTCGAACATCACCTCCGCCATCCGCTCTCAAATGATATCTTCTACTGCAGCCCAACCTGGAGCTAAAGCTGGAACGAGCAAGGAAGTTCACGGGTTGCAACGAAAGGTTCTGGAGAAAAACAGCGGCGGTCCAGCTTCATACGGAATGACTAGCTCTCATCGTATGACTGATTTGAATGCCGCTGTGAGAGAGGATCTAGCGGGCCTTGCAGCAAGACGGAAGAAGAAATTACCACTCATCGAAGAGGACAAACCATCCGAGAATGAGGAGAATGCAAGAAAAACAGAAGCGACTCGCAAGGCCAAGGCCGTACAGCAGAGAAAAGCAGACAAGCGTGATCCAAAACCAGGATATTGCGAGAATTGCCAGGACAAGTTCGATGACTTTGACGAGGTATGTCTAATTTCCTGCCATGTATGTAATTTGGTTCTAACTTCCTATAGCACATCGCATCCCGCAAGCACCGAAAGTTCGCCGAAAAGGATGAAAACTGGGCAGAACTCGATCAACTCTTGACAAAGTTGGCCAGACCACTGAAAGAAGAGCAAGATGACTATTAGTCTTGACTATTCTGCAATACCTAACCCTTCACAATCACTCAAAAACAAACACCATAATACCCTCGCTCTGCTTCTCAATTTGATTGCTTACCTCAAGGGGTAATTACCCTAACATAATAATGCCGGCGTTGGGAGGACCTCTGGTTGTCCAAGTCCATTTAAAAACCACCTGTTTTGCTTCCTGTTGTTTTCTTGCTTACAATTCTTTTTGCTTTGCAACTATACCAAGCCTTCTTCTGGCGCATTTCGGCCTGGTCTGCGTGCATTTGGGGGTGCTAAGCGGGCATTTTTCTGGAGTGCATTTATACTGGCGTCTTTTCTTTTTCCCTTTTTGTTTTCGTTCTGCTCCGACCCAGTGAGGTCGTTCTGGTGGAGAGTTTTTCCAAATGTTATCCATGTAGAAAGGCTTGCCCGGCAGGTTGGCTGAGAATTGCGTGTTAGTGTGGAACCTTTGACTTAGAGGGCGGTGGGAGGTGTGGATGAAACGTGGGTGAAAGAGTATCAGTATCTTTTCGCTGTAGATATGTGAAATAGGAAGATGACTGAATTGATCTTGATATACTGTAATTGACTACTGACCTATGAATGTAGTGTGGATATCTTGTTCCCATCGTGCTTACTGTACTTCGCTTGTCCACCTTGTCTATACTGTAATGGATGTCGCGGAACCATCGGATTCCTTGGTTCAATAGCCTAATCTACTTGTAGGATGTGTGATCTCTGTTGTACTGTACACTTGGAATCTCGACCAGGCCTGAAGCCAATACAACTTTTACATGCTAAAGTCTACACCAGTAAGAGAGGCGGGCATTACTCTATATATACCTGAGTTATGAAAATATTATCCTAAAAACCTTATACAACTAAATCAATTATCCGAATAGTTTAGAACAATTATCACCTTTGAATTCTTATTATACTAGGTGAAATAGGACAATTGAGTTACTTGTGCCAGAGTTTTGACATAATAACTTTTGATAGCGTGTATAGAGCAATGCTCGCCTCTCTTACCACCAGGTACTGTACTTTCTCACTACTTTCTCCCTACTATCTCTCTACTTCTCTCCGACAACCCAGTCTTGACATTAGGAATTTGTTAATCCTCATACAGCCTTTGGTTTGGAAAGAAGGCTTCTTTCTATATAAGGCTTTTAGGCTATTAACTTATATCTGTACCCAATTCTCTGTTTGTGTATTTTCTTGCTGGATTGTGGGGTTTTTGGGAGATGTTGTTTTGCTAGATTCTTAAGCGAGAGGGGTTTATGTCAGTCCAGATTCCAGAGGGTCTTTTCTTTGTTTTGCTTTTTGGGAGGGGGTTCTTTTTGTGGAGAGTAATAAGGTGGAATCTATGGCTTGCTTCTTTGGGTTTTGTTTCTGTTGAATTTGTATACTCGGGGGGTTGTAGAGGACACTTAAGAGTCTACGTTTGTAGACAGGGTTATGTTCGAGAGACTCGATTCTTTGTGGGTTTGCAGGGGTTTTTGATGAAGAATTAATGTAGATGTAAATTGTTACTTGATTGGGATCTAGGAGAGGGTACAGTGACACCAAGTAGAATGCTTGAAGACATCCCGCCGGGGGAGGGGAGGGGGGTTCTATTTGGATCGTAAATTAGTCTATGGTGAAAGTGTAAATGGATCCTGGGATCTTGCTGGGTAGGCGTTGACATAAGTATGTGATGTGGTCACAAGAAAGAAACCTTGAATACTTCTTCTTCTCTTCTTGCTAACTGAATAACGAATCCAGGGTCAGGCTTTGACGGTAAACCAGGCACTAGGTACCGACTTATATATTCCCGGTACAGCGGTACAACGAATTGGTGGTCCTTCAGAACGCAATGTAGCCCCAATTCATATTTGTTCTTTCCAGTTCTGCTGAGTCTTCAAAGACGGGAGCTTACCATGGGTTTGTTTGTTAGGTTATGCTCGGAACCCATCCGAGGCATTCCAGCAGATGTTAATAATTTGTCTCACTATTCATCTAGTATCACATCCATTTAGGAAGCAATATGTCTGGTTTTTGGCCGAGAGCTGATTTGCATATTCAAGATACCTCTGTGAGCTTAGCAGGTGCAATAAACAAGAATAGTTCTCCTTTACAACCAACGGGAGCTTTATTCCAGGATAGCAGTGCTTTCGTTCACATTGAATCTGACGACTATATCCACTACCTCGATGGAGTTGATGCACTATGATATTGTGAAAGTAAACGCTGTTTATGAAGACTCGCCAATGATGTTCAATCTATTGACAACCACCAGTTTCCTATATTTCCTGATTGACTGGCTATTCTACTTCATGTGTCTATCCCTTTCACATTTGTCGACACGTGCCTGGTGTATAATCTGACTTGAAATGGGAGGATAGGATGATAGAGGATAGTCATAGAGTCTGGTCAAACGAAGTTGGAAAGAGCTAAATCTTTCAATAAAGATTCTTGAGAGCCGAAGCAGAAAGTCATGATATCTGCTCAGTTGATAGAATGATCAGAAGTGAGGTCTACTCTTGGGGCTCGTAGGTCAAATGGTTGGACGGATTTCACTGGGGAGATCTAGATTTTGTCAGTAAGTCAGTGAATGCGTATCCCATGACTCATTACCACTCACTGGGTCTTCTTAGAGGGCAAGGTCCTAACTTCCAGAGTTTTCGAGTTCATGTTGGTTCTACAGGAACAGAAGAATATAACAGACTCTTGACTTGTGACAACAGAAGTAACAGACCGAGGAGAAATGACATTAGTCATTTCCTCTCATTTCTCAAACTCTGCCCGCAAGGAGTATCAGCCAGGGGCAATTCAGGAAACTCCTTTTCGGCTCCGTTATCTCTCGAAGTTCTTAGGAGTTCGTTGGTTTTGGAAGCTGAGAGATGAACAGCAAGCACCGGTTAGAAAGCTGACTTGGTTCGACAACAGGTAAAAGACTAGGTTATATCGTAGCTTGAAATGGGATGCCGTGAGCTGGGCGGAGTCTACACTACACAATACTCGCTTACCGCGTCCCGCTAAGGTTGCAGAATGAACCTACCCCTAAAGAATGCTTAGATTGATATAACCAGGTCTTAAACCTTTTACATGTCACTGCTGCTTTGAAGGCACGTTGTTCCCCAATTTGCCAAGTTTCTGCAAAGCTCCTGATAATTTGGTTGTGGCTATAACAGTGGCTAACCGCTGAATATATCGGAAAATCGAAGTTAGCCAAACTCAGGAATGAAAGTTCCAGTAAGTAAAGCCTAGAAGTAGTTCAGAGTATACTATCTATACTTGAGTCCACTATTTTGGGGGAAACCCCTATAGACACTGTAGTTGCATAATCTTTTCCAATACTAGGAAGGTGTGTGAGAATATCGAGAGTCGCCTCATGTAGATCTGAGGTTTAGGACTCAGGTCCATTCCCTCAACACAAGCTTATTACTTTGCCAAACCCCTTTCCCTTCAGATCCGAATCCAAAAACGCGGATTCAGATCTATCACCAAGCCTCTCCTTCCAATTTTCCTTTTTGTCATCACGTTACATCCCCCCCTATTTCATTCCAGAAACCCACGGCCCCATAATAATTCTCCAAAACCCTGCACGATTAAAACAAACATTGTTCATAGATTCCTTATCTTCTAGAAAATCTCTGGACTTCCAGATTTGGCTTATGGAGGAGCCAGAGACTTCTGAGCGTGGGTGGTTTCTGACTTTTGAACTTTGCCTATTACTCTTTCCATTTGGGTTTGTTTCGGTACCAGTTTTTCCTAGTCATTGTGCTGCTCTGATCGGAAATTAAAAAAAGTTCTCTACACCCACTTATTCGTTCTTGTGGCGAGCGGCTACGTGCGGTTCCGATTGTAATGCCTGAGCGAGTTCCTTACAGTATCATCGAGAGGGGAGCGGAAGAACCTCCGAAGTGATGTGGCTCATGTAGTTATGCTTTGGGAAGGAGGCGAACTTCGGCTAATTAAAAAAGCTCTCCCTTTTTCCCTCTGCATCAAAGTCCGAAAGATCTCGACACACATTGCATAGCGTGACTTCCAATGCTGTGGCACATGTGTCATTGAAGATCCAATTTCGAGGCTGGGTCAAATTAAGACGTCCACGGGTCCTTGGATGCAAGAACACTCACTCCTTCCCTTTTAGTACTCACTCCTTCTTCGCGCCGCGACCTGTACTGTTGTCGTTGCGCTAATGTGGCGAGAACATGGTCTAATCTAGAAGGGAAGGCACGAGCGACGATAATGAGGTTGTTTCTTCTAGAAGATGTCTAGGTAAACTCCTTGGATCAATTTTGACAAAATTGGTAAGAACCTCACTTTCTAAATGTTATTCGTGTTCTCCTCAAAAGCCGTTACGACTGTAGAAATGGATATGAGCTTGCTGTTCAGTAGCCAAGAAGGCTACTACTAGATAGAGCATATACATATATGAGAACGGAGGACCACAATCTTAGCGAGCAGCCCATCCACCTTTCCCCAACACCTCCCAATCTAAGCTTTCCTAAACCACATACTTACAAGGCAAAGGGTGATGGTGTCCAGTAGTGACACCTACCTGGCTCGCTTTTCGGAATAGATTGAGATACTTCTTCCAAGATGCTCGCATCGTTCCACCTCATAAAACTCATCCTATCTATAAAATCTTGCAGCCTTAGTATAATAAGTACTGTGGAAAAATCTACAAGCACAAGAGTGACGAGTCATTAGACAGTCGTCCAATATGCACAGAGACATTCATCACTGTCCTTGTTTTCCGACACCTCCCTGTTCAAAGATCAGATTGTCACAACTACAAATCCCCCTAGTGAAATGGCGACCAGCAATTTTATGACAAATACATTATTTTCATGTTCTCATATACCCATCCCATCCCATGCCACCCATTTGCTAACTACTTATCTAATACTAGCTAGCAACTTAGACACATAGCCGCTAGGTAGACCCTTCAACCACTAGATAGAGACTTCATCTCATCACCCTATTCACATCCCCTTTCTAAGCACAAGAAGTTCAGCTCATCTGAATATAAAGCACGCCAAAGCCAACGCCAACCAACCTTCCCAAACGCTGAAGCCATATACCGACCGCACAGTAGAACTCTAAAATTAACCCCCCTAAAAACAAGGCAGTAAAAACAAGAAGCAATCTGACCGCACGAATCCACAAAGAAGGGTATGTAGAAAAGCAGCAGAAGTAGCAGTAGAAAAGCAAAAATAGCTATCTGGGTATCCCTTTCCCTAACAGGAAAATACCGTTCCATTCAAAAGGACTTTTCCTACCCAGGCCAAAGACAGCAAACCGCGAGCAATGGTAAAGATCCAAAGGACCAGCATAAGACTAAGAGTGAGAGCCAAACATGAAAGAGTGATGCTCAATCAATCGGTACTAGCACTCATATCAAAGCTCTTGTCCCACATACTTCTCAAAATAGCACTCACACTATCATCGCCCTCATCAGCGCCACTAAGTCCATCCAAACTTACATCTGCCTCGAAGCTTCCATGAACAGTCGTTCCCCTACTAGCGCCACCATTTCGTAAATCCCTCATACTCTGACTCAATCCATATCTTCCGGCACTACCATTTCCACCTTCGCTTCTTCGCGAATTGTGTGATGGTTGTTGTGGTATACGTCGATATTTCTCTGCGCCAGGAAGTTGATTCAATCGGTTCAATGAGAGACCAACGGGATCTTGGTGACGTCTAACAACAAGATATTCTGTACCAGTTCGCTCAAGTTGTAATTTAATTCGAGGGTCCTTTCCGTCGTATCCAGCGCCTACAAGAGACGAGCCTCCAAATCCAGCATGTACGGCTCCCATACCATTTATACCTACTCCAGCTGCCATTTGTGCGGGTTCGATATTGGAACTTGCGCGTTGGAGCCACAACTTCTGTTGTGTGCGTGATTGCTGTGGAGGATTGTATGCATAACCGTTAGAAGGCTTTCGGCTTCGAGGAAGTAACGCGCTCTCCTCATCCTCGTCCGTTTCACGGGCGGAGGAATCTTGTCGTTTGAGGTTTCCCATCGATTGTGCCCGCTTCACATCTTCGCCCTTCGGGATCGCATGCTGTTGAAGAAAGGGGGAGTTGTCGCTGGATGTTCCGGAACCCGTGACAAATTGTGGTGCCATATCCGGATTACTACTGCCTACTTGCGGTGTTCCATTTGAAGTAGAGGGAGTAATCTTACTCGGCGAGTCAGGGGATTGCGATGAAGTAGCTGGCAGCGCAGTTGCAAGCGACATCTTTGCCGTCGTGGCCGTATGTGAGGGGGTCCTTTGAAGCAATCGTTCCGTAATGATTTTCGCATCTGCGTTATGGTTACGCGATCCATTTGCAGCTGAATTCGCTTCGGATCTGACAGGCGATTGATGGCGACTCGGACGAGGAGAATTTGCGTGAGAGTTGTTTGCGCTTAGCTTCGCGGAAGATGGGCCGCTGCGAGATGGCGCTCTCGACAGGGCTGGGGACGCCGAGCTGCTTGCTTCTTCCCATGCACCGTCGTCCTGATCGCCAATCTCGAAATGGACGGCCGCGGGCGCCTTCTTTTCCTTCTCTCTCTCCTTCTCCTTCGACTGCAACAACTTGGATTTCTTGGTGACCTCGGCCGCAGATCGATTACGCTTCAGAGTGACATGGCTTGCGTTCTTTCGTAAATTGGTCGCCGACGAGTTCCTCTTGCTCTTCAAATCCGTGTGCGACTCGTCATTGCCATGCGCCGGCGCCTTGTTCAGCTTGTGTAGCGCTTTACTGGACGGTACCCGAGTGTGTATGCGATTACTGCTGTGGACGACGTGTTTCGCTGCCTTTGGCTTGTTCGAGGTCTGCAGTGGAGGACTGATGGGGTTGGTCTCAATCTCACCTTGCGAATGGGGTTTGATGTTGGCGGAAGTGGTGGAGCGATTCGCTCCTCCTTGGGAGAAGTAATCGGATGGCATGCTTGCAGGTGTGTGTCGGCCGCAATTGCAATCTGTGGTGTTGCTTTTTCAGATCTGAGGTTCAAGACATCCCGTCGCTGCACCTAGAGCTAGTGATGATGCGCTGGCGGTGGACAGCCCACGGCTACCCACCGGCCCGAGATCACAAGGTTCCGATCTGGCAGGAACCGCAGGTGATATAGATATACCCGCTAGGGAAAGTTTGGTGAATACCTAGGCAGAGGTGGGATTAGGTTTATATATTACCATGGTGGAATGATCCACGTTTTGGTTCCTGCAATTGAGTGAATCATATACCTCTAGGTTTACATTCACATGTCAACACCTTCTTTCATTCACTTGGTTGAGGACCTAGCTTTCTTTATCACCAGCTACTACTCTCATGTCATTTTTATTCACACAAAACAAAACTGATATTACGTCTTATGTTTTTGCTTCATTGATAAAAGTATACGGTATGCTCAAGATTAATGTACAGCTAGTAATTAGCTACAAGATGGTACGAGTAACGCCATGCAATTTGTCATTGCTTCCTCCCAACCCAAGGTATACCACAAAGGAAACGCTTCATTAATCAAACCTTGACTGCTGGTCCAGCTGCAATCACTTCTGGGGTGGCTTCGTCAGAGTACTTGTGGAAGTTCTCGACAAATAGTTTTCCGAGTTTTGTTACTTCGTTTGTGAAACTCTCGTCTCCAGCAGTCCAGGCATTTCTTGGGTTCAGTAGTTCCGATGGAACCCCTGTACAAGTTTTTGGTACTGCGAGATTGAAAGTCTCGTAGGTTTCATACTCGACCTTTGCAAGCTCTCCGGCATGGATCGAGTCGAGGATCGCACGTGTATATTTCAAAGGACAACGCTTGCCACCAGTAGCGGCACCGGCTCCAACCCATCCAGTGTTCAACAACCATGCGTTAGCTTGGTGTTGCTCAATCTTCTCAGCCAACATCTGAGCATATCGCATAGGATGGAGCGCCAAGAAAGGTTGCGCGAAACACGAGGAAAATGTAGCCTGTGGCTCTGTGACGCCATCTTCCGTACCAGCCATCTTTGAGGTATAACCCGAGATGAAATGGAACATGGTTTGTGCCGAGTTGAGCTTGGATATAGGTGGAAGAACACCACGAGCATCGCAGGTAAGCAGAATGATGTTCGTTGGGTGGTTTTCTGACATGCAAGGAATCTTGGCGTTGTCGATATACTCGATGGGATAAGCACATCTGGTGTTTTCGGTGAGGGTGGTATCGTCATAGTCAACAAGACGAGTCTCGGGACTGAAGACAACGTTCTCCAAAACCGATCCAAACTTGATGGCATTGAAGATATCTGGCTCCTTTTCGCCGGAAAGACCAACACATTTGGCATAACAGCCTCCCTCAATGTTGAAAATGCCGGTATCGCTCCAGCAGTGTTCATCGTCACCGATTAACATACGCTGTGGATCAGCTGAAAGAGTGGTCTTGCCGGTTCCGGAGAGACCAAAGAAAACAGTTACATCGCCATTCTTGCCCTCATTGGCTGAGGAGTGGAGAGTGAGGACGTTGTGTTTGACGGGCATCTCGTAAAAGAGAACGGTGAAAATACCCTTCTTCATCTCTCCGGCATACTCGGTGCCCAAAATGACCATCTCCTTGTCGGCAAAGTTGAGGGCAACGGAAGTTCCGGATGTCATACCTTCGGTGTATCTGTTTGCAGGGAAAGATCCAGCATTGTAGATGGTGTAATCTGGGTGAAAATGCTCGAGTTGACCTCGGTCTGGCCGGATGAGCATGTTGCGCATGAAGAGAGCGTGATAGGCACGAGCACACACAACTCGCACCTTGATGCGGTATTTTGGATCCCATCCTGCGAACCCGTCAACGACGTAAATACGATTTCTGGTGTTTAGGTAGTCGATGGCACGTTCTCGATTGATTTTCCAGACCTGAAGAATTAACAATTAGCAAGTTTATCATTTGCAGTGTTGATGTTGTCGTTGAACTTTGCACGTGGAAATATGCCGAGACATTATGACATAATGCCGCATGCAAGCAGACCCCTCGGGTAGATTGCGGGGTACCAAAGTTTTCAGCTGGAAAGTTGGCCATATTTGATCAATTGATAGAGGGAAAATGTTAGAAGGTATGGAGAGAGAAATTGAGTGACATAGAATATATGGCAGAGTATAGAAGAGGAAGCTGCGGTGTTCCGGTATGCATTGCATTGCATTGGTGGAATGTGGGGAAATCTGGCAGGGGCCGCATGCGTTTTGCTGCGCTGCGCTCGTAAAGACATTGCCGTGGCAAGCCGAACATGGGATTTTTGACTTACATCGGGTGACATGGGTTTGTTGACCGGTCTGGAAACGTGTTAGTGAATTGTACAAGATGGAAAAGGGTTTCGTCATTTCACTTACCCCCACCAGATATCATTTTCTGAACTAGGTTCCTTGACGATACGTTTGTCTAACGGTGAACGACCAGTCTTCGCTCCCGAGTATGCGGTAAGGGCACCGGTCGAGGTCATGGCCGAGCCGGTTTCGTAGACCAAGGCATCTTCATAGAGAGCAGCAACACTAGGATTGGGTACCTGCAAAAGAGCGGATATTAGTGAATGACAAGGACATTTTGTAAGAGGCAATGACGATAGTGGACTCTGCCAGTGTTCACTTACAATAGCTACACGATCATAGTCGATGTGTGCCTTCTCGTGGAGCTCCTCTTCAAGTTCTGTATGTTCTCGCTCTTTGACGGGCCTATAATAATTAGCACCTCCGTTCTAGCCAGTAGATGGGGCCGACGAGGTCGACGGCGTGGGAACTACTCACTCGACACCTCCTGGGTGAAGAGCCGTCTTGTTGACTGTATTGACGGTAACCATGTTTCTGAGTGAGGTAGAATGGAAGTTGGAAGTTCTTGTTGCAAGAATCTTGGATTTAGGGCCGATTTGAAGGGGATCGGAGTATGGAGAGGAAGTTCTCTCAATGGGGTCCCAGCTGTTATTTAAGGAGCTGGACATGTTCACGGATGAGCTGAAGTTTCGGCTGTGACTATGGCAATGTGGACTAAGTCGGGCAGGTTGCTTGTAGTTCGATGCATGGGAGGGTGTCGGTGGAGTAGGACGGACACGATGTGAAGGTGGTCTGGGTGTTCTGGATGCGAGTGCAGGTGGTCTAGCATTAAACGGTGCCGAGGAAGTGAATGCGGAGGAAAAGAAGGTATTTGAGTAAAGGCAGACTAGCCAATGAGGGTCTAGTTCCCGTTAGCTAGCGCCACCATATCCCTACATTAACCTCTTTTTGGCGAAAAGCAGACCAACCTTTCGAAAACGGACCGGCGCGAACAGGATGTGCCATCGGAGCAATGCGGAACTCAGACCCCGTCAACAGCGTTGCGACCCTCGATATCCCGTCACAGTCATGGTTGACGATGGGCGCTGCGAACGCTCACGATGATGCGATGCTCCGCATGAACGGAAGTGGCCAGAAGCAGAGGGGAAGATGGGATGGGGATGGGGATGGCAGTGTTCAGAGGTTGTCGGTGATGGGATTGTACGAGTCTGGGAGGCTGCGGTAGAAGAGGCCCTCGACGTCGCCTCGCAACCAACTAGTGGACTATAAACTAGTCGTTAGTCGCGAGGTAGCGAGCACTCGTAGCGAGTGGATTAGTTGTGCAAGTACTTGAGTAGCGAGCAGTAACCAGTAGCGATCCAAACAAAGCTGGTATTTCCAAGCAGCGTTAGTACGGCTTTCCTTGAGTAGGTCGGTCGTCGTTCATCGACGGCCCCTCATCACATGGGAGAGCGGCTCTCCACATAGCCAAAAGCCACGACGAAACACCATCCACCTCATGCAGCAGATTATCCCGCCGCAGTCACTGCCACTGCAGCGGCTGTGGTACCAGACAAGCAGCTCTTGCACTGCCAATTAAGGTACTCTGGAAGGACTACCAGCTGCCGCTAGCTGCTCCCAGCGAGCCAGCCCAGAGACGGTGGGAGAGCAAAGCGTGGGAAGCGCACGCTGGCCGGGTGTCTGGAACTGGCATTGAAAGCGGACGGCTGCAAATCACTCATCCGCCGCCATAATCATGGCCATACGCTGCATCACGCGAGCAGTTCCCAAACCCGATATCAATTCCGTGACTTCATGCTCCTCCCTCATCCTCGCCCAGAAATGAGGCAATGAACTGGTGACAGACGGCCCCTATATCATACATGCGCCGAGTACAGCGCACAGTTCAGCCTCGTGTCGTGGGGAGGGCCTGGTGGGCCATGCCATGATGGGATGAAAGAGCCCTGCTGTCGTGGTTCTTGAAGTCTTGGAGTCTTGGGGAGGAGATCGATTCCAGACTGGCGGGTATCGAAGCCACTCTTCCGAGATTCCCCTCGTCCCCCGCACTCTTGCAGGCTGAGCCCCGCTACGGGCGGCCTCAACCAATGCCCAAAACCTTCCCTCCTTGCCAGGAACAGCATCTCGGGTCCACTCTGGACGAATCGTTGAGACCTAGACTCACTTCACATGCTAGAAAGAGCCCTATTTTCGTCTTGATTATTGGCGCTTATCCAGAAGCACAATTAAGTTGAGGCATCGTGGAAACGTCAATTTGTTTCTGCCTTTTCAAGGTTCTGCTCATCTAGCACAATACGAAAACATCCCGCGTCATTTTTTATTAAGAAAATATCTCGTATCAGAGAGCATTGAGGCTTTAACGAATTCCGCTTTCCATGAATGATAGGCTTGGAAATGACAATCCATGTGGATTTCCTTGCGGGGATATGTAACCGCTCAGTTGATAGAAATACATTGTCGTCATCTTTCTCCATTGTTGGTGGGATTTTATATGGGGTTGTCACCCCACAGTCTTCGACGGGAAAGACTTTTCCCAGATAGCGAGGGGTGGGGTTCGGAAGAAAAGGGCATCAAGGAGAACATGGACGAGGATAGTCACGTGGGGTGGACTTTGCACCTAGCTCCCCATCATACTTATTTTAGCCCATACTCGTACTTGTACTACCTTGGAAGTACCGGAAACGGTGGGGCCTACAAGTATGATTGCTCTCTACTACTGGTACTTCGTGCTATGTTAAACAGATCTGTTGCTTAACTTTCTTCGACAACCACTCGAAAACCGAGTATTAATCAGCTTCTACAAGCGCTCATTCCCAGGCCTCCTCAGCCACCAGCTCCCCTTAACCAATCTTGAATATTTCTAACTCATAACCGTACATCAACACCGCAAATTCTGTCAGTTTACACTTTTTAACCGTGTACCAAATCACGAGAAGGGGGTTACGTAAAGACCATCCGAGCTTTTCCTACCTTTTCAATTGAAGCATGGGAAAGAATACATCATCTGAATACATGACAGAGTTTTCAGAGACCGTGTTTTCTGTTCTTTCACTTTTTCTCTTTTCTCTTTTCTCTTTTCCGAGAACTTTGGGCATCAATATGGATGTTTCCGGACATCTGGTTTGAGCTTGTCTCAACCCTTTTTTTGGAAATGTCACTTGACGAGAATTTCCGACTGCAAAAGTTTGGCCTGGTCGGATCTCACTTCGTACTTCAGAAGTAAAGAGTCTTTAAAGTCAAATACTTCTATTTTCACCGCTCCAACTCCAGAAAATTCCAATGATTGTCTTCTGCTTGACTCGAAACGGTGTGCGGAACCTAAGGCGTGCATCGGCATACGCGGTACGTACCGAGTACCCGCCCTTGAAGGGCAATAGTTTGCCTTGGCGGAGTATATATAATATATTTTTGGGATTTGGGGTTCAGAATACTGGTTCCTCTTTTAAACGTCAACTGGACGTTGGAGAAAGTTGTGTTCCTCTATGTCTGTGAAGAGCTTCGTGCTGTCCAGCTTGCAAGTTGCCTATTTTCCTCCTACTAAGACACCATACACTCGTGTACGAGTAAATATGTCATCATCGTAAGTTCTTTCTGTTACTTGCCGCATGTTATCAGTGATCACTGCAGCGTATGGAATTCATCACATCTTGGTATGATACTTTTCCAGACTTTTCAATCCTCTTCCATCCCGGATTCTGGGATTTTCCCAAGTACCTACCTCTTCAGGCACACCGAGATGCACAAAGGGTGACATCGACTGTATGTCTGCATTTTAGTCATCGAAGATATTCAAAAATTTCTATTTTCAGCTACACGTGTAATCACTGCCAATGCACTTCAATTGCTGCTTTACTACTGCGTGTGCTTCGAATGATTCTGAGTACGGCGGCGCTTTCATGCCAGCTATATTGTTTGATTCCAAATCCCATTCATGCTGTTGGGGTCCCTATAAATCTGCATTTCAGTGCCATTTCCACTCACAATTTGTCTCGTACAATTTGGAATCAAGATCTCGGCTCCAGATGCTTTGATCGCTTCGTATTTAATCCTTAAAAGAGCCGTTTTGCTATCTTACAACGAACTGCAGACTCGTCATGTAGTTACAACGTATCAAAATAATAGCTGAATGGCCCCCAAAGTAGTGCACTGCATTGCCTCTTCTGGTCTCATTGGCTCCTCATATCGCAACTTTCTTTGAACCCCTCACATGTCTGCATTCTTCGGGATGAACATAACCATATGCAGTCAGCCCTACAGGAAGAACACTACAATCTGTCAACAAACAGGCACGGGGAATTCTTCCCACCCTACCTGATCGCTAACTACTCTAAGTTTCCGGGTCGCACAGATCACTCAAGGAAAACACACACTCGTTGCTCTCTGATACGCTACCGTAGCCAGGCATCCATCCACCCCCACAGATACGACCCATTAAGCGCTGCAGAATTTCCGCCCTCCTCTTTCTCTTCTCTTTATCATATAATGATTTCAATTGAAACTTGGGGGCTCTTCTAAGAAATTACCACAATCAGCAACCTCGTTTATCCTTTACTTGCTACTCGTGGAAGTTACGCATCGCGGTTGTTTCAGCGTCTAAGCAATATCACAGTTGGGGTCGAGAAGGTCTTGCAATCGGTCGCGGTCGAGAGGAGGTCGGTCAGGTGAGATATCACTTCTCCGCTTCAAACGCATTTTGGAGTTTCGAAGTTTACTTATTGACTCACATCTCTCGAATTATCAGACTACAAAGTCAGCTACTCATTCCATATCTCCTCGAGCTCACATACACATCCGCACATCCACCAACACTTATAAGTTACACCACAACAATGAACCCTCCAACTCAACCCCGCGGTGCTCCCCTCTCCATCACAGCCACCTCTCAATCCCAATCTTCCTCCTCATCGTCAACGCCCGCAAACAACTATTCAAATTTCCCCTTATCGCCCACATCCTACACCCCCTCCCCCATCTCATCCACCTACTCCCCACTCATCTCCCACTCTCAACCTCCCCGCGGAATCGGCACCCAACGCCGAGCAACCGAGCCTCCAAAATCTGCGACTTCCTCCCTCTCCTCCTCGCCCTCAAGCCCATTGCGATTCTTCACCCGTAATGGGGTCACCGAAAGCCCAACACGGATGAACACAACCCCAACGCGAGCAAGCACAGGAAATTCCGGTATGAATGGTGAGAAAATCAAGAGATTAAGTGAGGGGAGTCGACGGTATAGCGGGGAGAAGATTAATGTCCATACGGAGTGTGGGAGACATAGTGATGAGTGGCTCTTTGGTCCTATGAAGGGAGCTGTGAGGAGGATTTTGGAGAGGGGCGATAGTAGGGATCGGGTGAAGGAGGATAAGGGGAAGGGGAGGGAGTAGTTTCCAGTGATGGAGTGACGAGGACTCGTTTTACGATATTATGACTTTGGGATTGGGACTGGGATAGGAAGGATGGAAAAGCGTTCTTGGGCTCTTCCTTATCTGTTTGCGTCTGAATTTTGCTTCTCTTTTCTCTTTTGGGGGGTTTTATCAGCGCTTGCTATTCTCCCCCTTGCATTGTTATTTCTGCGTTTCTGCTTTACTTTCCTGCATTTTTTTGATATGGCGATTGGATATCGGCTCTAATAATGGATTGGATATGGGATATGGGATTTGGGACGGATGGATGGATGGACATGGACCGGAATGATACCCTAATTTCTTTTCTTTATGCATATTTAATTCAACACCCTTTTTATTTGCGTCAGTACACCATCCACTTTCCTGGACACGAGTATATTTATGTTCTCCTTGTCTTGGGGAAATAGGTATGCATAAGTTCATATTCATTTGTACGTTGATGGAACTCTTCTCAGATGGTGTAAAGGAACGGTTCTTCTGTTGCTACTTTGCTGCCTCGCGTTGGGGTTTTGGAAACCTGGAGAAACACTGAACGACAAACTTCGTTCCGTTCCTGTGAAATACTCTTTGGCGCGGATGCTAGCCAAACGACAGTGATCAATAAATCGACAGCAAGAAACACCATACAAGATTTCTCATTGCATTTGTGGTGATAGAAGATGACATCACGTTCAATCGTCCCTCAATCCCCACGACTGAGCTAGGACAAGGATGTGGAAGAAGTCTTTTTGCCTGGTGATTTGGTCTTCCATTACTTCCGTGAAGGCTTATGAATACTCTAGTATACTGAGGTAATCTAGAGTAAGAAACATTGTCTTTAACCTCTAGGATCGGAGTATAGATCTGACGTGAACATCAATTTCTTTATAACTTCTTTGGCCCTCGTCCGTCTCTAGGACCAGAGAGGAAAATGTACTATTTTCATTTGATGGAGAGCTTGGTTACAAAATTATATGAGACACCAATATAGTTTGGAAGGAATAGTCGTCATGGAAGAAAGATATCACCAGCATCACTTTCATCTTTATAAAACTCCCTTACCTGTAAATACCTCCCCCCACAACTCGTGATCATGACCTCCTCTCCGTATGAAGCTACATGATTAATCTTGTTTTTCTAATGGTTATTCAGCTATCACAGCGGTAAACTTCCACCGATACCTCATGTGAGGTATCCTTTGATCGGAGTTTTTGTCGTGACATCTAAACCGAAGAGATTTTCAAGCGAGTAGGGAGAAAACGACAGCAAGGAAAAGTTCGATGGCAGGAAATAAGTTTTTTCATGTGAGTCAGTTCTAGAGAGTGGGAAAGGTTAAATAGCACGTTTGGTTTCAATTCTCAGTAAATAGATTGCTTTCTTGGGAAAACCAAGCAGTAGACGAATTCAAGGCATATGTGTATCTCACGAGACGGCCACCCATGAGCCGAGCTTGGGTTTCTTAGTCAGGTATGTAAAAGAAAAAATCCAAAAAACATATGCATACTAGTATCTAAGCTGGAAGCAGGAATAAGAGACCTTGGAATTAACAGCATGAAAATACTTTGTAGGGACATGTCTCTCTTCCTTGATTATGCTACTCCTATAATGGTAGGAATTTACACAAAAACGTCGCGTCATGATAGATGTCAAAAAATACCGAGGAGAAGCAATGTGAGGGCGTCTCTCCGGTCAATCTATACCATGTGAGTTCAAAGCGAAAATATGCAAGTTAGAAAATCTCAAGTATTCAAGTTTGGCATTGTGATCTCTCTCGCTCTCAAAGAACACACAAAGGAAAAGTGGTAAAGAGTTACTTTTGGCAAATGTCGATAGATGAAATCCAGGAGTTCTAGATGATCCACTTTGTGGTTTGTGTTCTAGTAACACCTTGAGTATCTACTATCTATGAGACTTCGGACCAGTTGTGAAAGGAAGTCCTAGTCCCTGGAAACTATCTTGTTAGAAGTTGTAGCTTCTACATCATTCAAGTCTGATTGTCCGACAGAGGCTCGAGGGGAATCTCGATTTCTTTCAAAGTTCTGATATTGGAACTGATGATATAATTGCTATGTTGGCAAAGCTAGAGAGATTGTAAAACATATAAGAGACGTGGTCGTTACTCTATACACACCTCTCTTAGAATAAAATTATTCCAAAAGCGTCGTACAACTGAAACAATTATGTGAAGAGTTTAGAATGATTGTTACTGGTTACTTTTTATTTGCCTAGGTATATTACTATTATTAGCTTACTTGTACTACAGGTTTAGTATAGTGACGTTTTATATAGTGTGTACAGAGTAACGACCAGGTATCTTACTGTCTTTTGATAATTGTTACATACTTCAGTAAACCCTGACAGGTTGCAATCTATTTCGAAGCATCGAATTCTCTGTTCTTTAGGACCGGTCCCGAGCATGAACTCGTTCTCAACTTCTTACAGATCCGATTAAAACAGTCTACGTCCATATTCCGTCTAATGCTCAACCCTTCAGCCACTTCTTCACAGCATCTTTCCTTCCTGCTCTAACCTCTTCCACTAATGGTGATATTCTCTTCTCATCTTCAATGCCTTCCACGACATCTAGCGGTACAACATCAAGTCTAATTGCTTCCTCAGAAGTGAAAGTTCCATAGATATCCACGTCATCGAATTCTCCAGCAGCCTTGACAGGAAAAGCAGTAGTAAGCCCATAAAACAGACCCGCACTAATTGATAACCCTGAAGGCAGAAGTTAGCACTTCCATGACCCCTTTCTTTGAAAGAAGCGATACTCACCAAGAAAGAAAGCCATAAAATACAGCTCACAAAGCACCCTTGGACCAGTCGTATCCTTCTGAACAGTTAATACCAAACCCCCAATTGTAGGAGCCCACCCAGTGATCCAAGAAGGTATGACCCTCCAATTTACTCCGGCTGTATACCAATAATCTGAGCCTTGAGGGTGATATAGATGGGATAGTTTGATTCTTTGGTGGCGAATAAAGAAGTAGTCTGCGCACATTACTCCCATTATTGGGGCGAGGAAGACGGAGAAGGAACTCAGGACTGTTATGAACGTTGAGGCTCGATTGATTAGTTGCCATGGCTGGACAATCTGGTGAGTGTCAGTTTTGGTTGTGCGAAGGAGGGAGAAGAAATAATACCCATGCTGCGAAGAAGGTAATTATTGAGCCGCGACGGATGTCGATGTATCTAGGAAAGAGACCTGAAAGGTCGATGCCTCCTGCAACTGCATTTCCCTGCCTTCAATTTTAGATTTGTGTAAGAGATTCAGGGGAATGGGAGGACTTTACGCATATATTTTCAAACATGGATGTCAACATAAACCCAAAAGCAAGGAAGAAAACACCAGCTCGAGCGGCCGAGGAACCTTGTCCGGATTCCATCATCAACATGAGTAAATCGGGAGCTGCAAGACAATAATCAGTCTTGTATGAGGATTAGATGTATACTCAACAAGGCAATACTTACGATTCCAGTATATCCCACCATAAATCTTTTGACAAGCAGCAGTAGTAACAAGGCCAACGAAACAAACCAAAGTCCCCACAACTAGGAAGCAAGAAGTCGTACCAATGATATAATCCCTTTTGTTCTTAGCGTAACGGGAAAAATCACTTCCATTGGTCATTCCTGCAGCATTTTGCCCGATACCTTGATTTATGGCTGCCATTATTATCCAGGACGAATTCCACTTTGACGTGCTGGGAATGCTGGTTCCTTTCGAAAAAATGGGGCCAACCCCCTTTGCCACGGAGAGCGACCATATCACTTTTAAGGTGGTTAGCTGGTTGGAAGGAGGACAGTATAGGGGATTTACTCATGCACAGCATTCCTAGACCACAGTAAATTGATATGAATCGAAAGGGACGTTTGAAGTGCTCTGGTCTGATGAACAGGAATGGGATAGAGATAACCCAGCATATGATGAAGCCAACCATTTCGTAGGTTGTGGTCGGTGTGATTGCACTCAGCGTATTAGGAATTTTTGCGAACGAGGGCCAAATTGCCGTGATACAGACTCTATCAAATCAGTCAGTGTTTCGTCTTACGTTTGGAAGATATGAGTCTCGAACGTTGCAAGTTTTCCTCCGTTCCAACCTGCAAATTGTTAGCAATTGCTGGTCGAATACTGGAAGAAAGACCAACATTGTACTGCATTCCAAATGAAATTCAAAAGGATTCTCTGAAGAAGGGGAATGTAGCTTGCTCTCAAGCCCCAAGTATAACGGTTTTGAATTGTAAGACCGATATGCCAGGTCAACCCACAACAAGCAACAAAAGTAGAGAAAATGGTAATCACAAGTCTAGCGATTATGATCACGAGCATCGATTGGCCGACCGAGAGTCCTTGAGCTGTGATTTCCAGTCAGTCCGAAGGCACCAAATGGCCTCTGTCGGGGAGAAGTCCTACTAAGGAATGTATTTGGAGTTTGCCATGTTGCAATGTTTAACGAGGATAACGTCCAAAAGCCAAAGTAGTGGAACGCTCCCCACGTTCGACGTATGGGAGGAAGTGGTATGAGATCTCGGTTGCTCCATGCATCTGTTTGTTCGTGTTTTTCTTCATTGCCTCTGAGAGCTGCGGCTTCTTTAACACGTCTGATTACTGTCGCCATGGTCGCCAAAATTATTCAGGATGCGCATTGAACCAACGATGGAATTGAGAAGACTTCAGAGAGAGCAAAACCCCATGACATATGCGCCCAGTTAACAATTAGAAGATAGGTAGATATCGGAAAGTTAGGAATAGTATCATGATAGCTAGAGGTTGCCCGATAGATTGCAGATCGCCCTTTGCCTTGCTGATATCTCACCAGCAAGAAGTACCCCTGAATTGGTATATCTTATCGCTACTGTAAAGTTGGGAGTGGTGCCACAGGTATTACTTGCATACGTAAGTGGGATAGCAAATACTACCTAGATTTGAACACTATCGAGTGGAACGTCACTTTCCTGGCTTGTCCCCCAAGTTCCCAACCTCGAGTTCTTCCAGTTCCAAATTCTTTCTCGCCTGTGTGTCTCGATCATTCGACACCCATCGGAAGAGAACAAATTTAGGGCAAGCGGGACCCCAATTCATTCGTGGGCAAAAACCCATACAAAGCGACCGACTCCCCTTCGTCATTCCGCCTAAATGCACGATACATTTTTGTCACTGTGATCGCATCGCGGGAAATGGGGGAGATGAAATCTATCTAATATAGGAAAATGCAAAGGGGCCTACATGCCAGACCCATTAGATATAGATGGCAAGCTAGGGTAGCAACCCAAGCTATATGTGATTGCAAGATCTGCTATTTCTATCAAAGATTTCTAAAATAAAGTTACCGTATTAATTGGTATATAAGGTAACATTTTTGTATACGATATCCTGCGATATAAGATAGGGTTCTAACCTAGGCCACGAATCATATCTTATAAGTCTAACTAATAGCAACGTACTAAATTATCCCTTATTATACCCCTTATTTAAGTACAAAATTAACTAAAATTCTGACTAATTTATATCTATATTTATATCCTATAGGTCCTCTATATCTAAATTAGAATTAAACTCTTCCTTGTGGTTACTGTTAGATATATCCTTAGTATTATTAACAGGGGGTGGTTAGTAGCGGAGACCCGCTTTTTTAGTAGATTAGATATTACTTTTATATAAGACAAGGTTACGATCGCCGATTTGACAGACTTTTTGATTATGATATAGTGTTTTATATACCGATTATTACGGTATTTCATGATTCGACCACGCAACAAAACAACAACAGAAAATGTAGGGTGGTCCGCAAAGGGAGTGGAATCAGGAGTGTATTAGAGAGTGCTCAGCATCTCGCTAAGTCCTGGATACCAACTAGTCCAACTGCTAGACCAATATCATGTAATATATCCCGACTAGCCACTCCAACAAGCCCCTACCCAAGGACACAAAGAATCATCCCTCGTTCTTTCACTTTTCCTTTGGTTGCTGTACAATTGCTTGCTACCTTAAGGTTCGAGGAGATAACGGTGGTAGGTCGTTCAATGACGTATCCCAGGTGTTCGTATTTAGGATTGAGCTAAAGACAAGGATAAGTAAATATACAGTTTATAAGTAATCATTGTTAGTACTTACGGAGTAGGTTACTATGCCTGGGCCATTTGCTTCGCAACTACTATTACCTTCAGTTCTAAAATTGCACTACAGTCTATCCTTGTCTCTACGAGAATGACTTGTAGTTGTCAGGGTAAAAATGCTTAACATAAAAACGACAGGTCCTATGGCGATCGAATGATTTTGAGCGTACTATTCAAAAAACATCAGTCGCTCTAGATACAATCCGAGAGGCTTACTGTAAGGAGAGGAAATGCTTATTAATATAGCTAGCAGCTAATATTATATTTTTAGGCATATTACTTCATTCGACAGAAAACCCCTGGATTTACTTGAAATGCCTTATGGCCTCGCACAACTCCTTAATTTTGGGGATTTACCAAGGATACTTAAATGTGTTGTAGTGTCAAAATGTTTATAGTATAGAGACGAGGAAAATACGCTAGCTATGGCTACAATAGCTACTGAGACTTTTTCATCTCCTAACGTTTCTGAATAATAGATTTCATGATTTTTATACAGATATAAACTTATAGATAGAATAAATGGTAAATGGAACTGACGTTCGTATTACTCGTATTAAGTACCAAACCCTAACACGTATGGTAGACCCTAGATAATTATTCCAAATCAGATGGGCCAAATGAACCGTAATTAATAAATCCTTGGCGGTACTACCGGTTAAGCGAAAATGCAACAAACTCTTAGATGATGGGTGATCTTAGAGCTAAAGCAGAAATTATTTTTAGCTTTTAAGCTATTTCTTCCCTCCTTATCTCACGGGTCAATAGTCATCTTTTTTCTTATCCGCCATTTAGACTCCTACACTTCTAGAGATGTTTCCAACGATATTACCTGTTTGCCTCCTCCTCTGCTTATCCACCGCACAGAACATATCCTCCCGACAATCACCTAGGTCCCCTCTTAACAAAAGAGCGGAAATCGAGATCACCGGCTTACCGGTTTGGGGAACCGATCCCCCAGCTCCTATTACCGACGACGATATAGATCGCTATATCGACCAAATCGCGGAAATGTCGCAATTGATAGTAGACAAAATTAATCCGGAGGATGCTATCTTCCTCCAATGGTTCGGTGACCCAGCGTTTTACTTTAATGTCATAGGTGCGTTCCTACCATCTCTATTCTCCTTTTTACTAACCACAAAATATAACAAGATATCTACAATCGAATTGCGAAAATCAAAGAAAACATTCAGGGTGGCATGAAACTCAGAATAGAAGTAACAAACAGAGACAGAAAGCGCTCGGAGATAAATGCCCGCGCAACATTGGGAGAGCAACTCAATATGGGGAGCCGCGAAATAACAACCGCGCTGTATTTGACTGAATTAGAAATCCCTACTATAAGACTTTACAATGCTTGGAAGACTACTCCCTCTTTCTTAGAAGTAGGTTTAGTTGTTGGGGGTGCAGATATGAAATATCTTGATAAGATCAATTATTCTAGACAGGGTATTCTTTTTCACGAATTGGCTCATCTTGTTGGAGATAGCAAACGTTTTGCCCCTGTTATGCCGGGAGGACATACTATGGGTAAGTTTTAATCAGTGGTAAATCCTAGGGGGGTATGCTAATATATAGTAGATATGTTTGATTTTAGTAGTATTGTAGATACACGACCTTATGGTGCCACTCGTGGTAACGCTCAGGATATAGTATACTTAGCATCCACCCTGTTATAAATCTTTTTTTTCAAAAAAAGAATATATAAACTAACATCCTGTTACAGAATTTTCTGAAAACAGCTTTCAGAGAACCCTCGGATACCATGTTGAAGGAAATGGGGGCATATGACCCGAAATACTGCCTTCCATTACCTCAACTAACAGACGGTCCATTATATGCTGTTAGTATCTTTCAATTCGCCTCGAAACTCGCTACTAAGAAACTAACTTGGACATTTTCTATAGATACATAATGCCGATACCTACAGTAATTTCGCCTTTGGTAAGCCTAACACTCACTGTTCTACTACAGACCAAATCCTCCCTGATAAGTATACTAATTCAAACCAAGCTGTTTTTACAGGTTGGAATAGAGACCAAGCTATTCGACCTACATATGGGAACTTGGGTGCTATATATAAAAACGCAATCGGGGGAGATCCGCTTTCTAATATCAAGCCGCCTTTCCGTAATATGGGACGCGATTCGGATATAGTATTTGAATGGTGGAGGGCGCTGAAGAGGAAACTGCCGCGGTAGGCGTGGAAGGTTGTTGGTTTGCAGATTGCCAAATGAAGGAGGTAGGGACTCTACAGTGCCCAGGGGATTAATGGTTTATTGACAACGTTACCAGACCGAGTAATCTTACCTAAGATATACTTTTACCAGCGTTTTAAGCCAAGTATACGTAATAGAGAATACTAGGTATATATTACTGCACTCCTACCTACCCTTCGGCCTCTGTAATTCCCTACCTGTCTCCCACCTCTCTCGATGCCTGTCTCTCCCTACCTGTCTGTCCCACCAGGTCCCTACTTATGAGTCCCAACCTATCTCCATACTTACAAGCCCCTACCTCTTACAACCATACCCCCTACACCCCATATACCCCCTTTCTCCCCCACCCTTCTAGGTAAGTACCTAAATCTTATTAATAGGTAGTAATTCCTATCCGCCCTCCCTCTGCCTGTCGCTTTACGGCAGAGGGAGGGCGAATCGGCTCGTAGATAAAGAAGTATAGAGTGGGGGCCATTTAGAATCATACAGATGTAATATCGACTTTTTAGCTACTTTTAACCCCGTTTATATATCTCTAGGGTATATAAACCATCGACTCCCGAGAACTAATATTTTATATATTCTACTACTCCTAGGCTAGTAGAGTTAAATTAAGTAGAGGCGAGAAAGGTATTATATTTAGTAGTTAAATTAAGCGAGACGTAGTAGCGGGACTTTCTAGCGGAGGCCGATCGGTAACCTAGCGTTTAAAATGCGGAAGATTAGATGAACGAAGGAACTTCTAGTTTTACTTACTATTATACTAGTAGTAGAGATATATTCCTACTAGAACTAGTAGCAAATATTATATAAGCTATATGTGAGGGTTGGAACCCATGATGGAGGCTCGGGCCATGCCCTCGCTAAGCACTGACCAAAGTCCCCGCTCAGCATTGGCCATTGCTCCACTGCTAAATTGGTTTCTCCTTTTCTACACTTTTCTACTCTATTCTTTTGACGTCACGTATTTGTCAAACAGTTTCTTGGAAGACTCCAGAAACTCTTCCTCTCTCTATATATAGAGGAAGAGATTGCATGTATGTAGTCTTCACGCACTTCTTAATTGAATATTCGAAACGACACCTTTGAGCTATTCGAGGTCTGGCCTCTCACACTATATAGGTAAACTAATAGCTTATCTACCTAAAATATACGCTAAATAGTTAGACCTTGTAGGAAACTAAAATAGACCCTTTTCTTAACCTCTCTTACCGCTGTTTGAGAGACCAAGGTCGTGGAGAGCTAAAAAAAAAAAGCTATCGGACTAAAAAGGCCTAACACTCCCAGATTCGCGAAGCCCAACTTATCAACTTGTCACCGCCATTAATCCAAATCACCAGCGTAGTGCTAGAACCTACACCAGAAAATGTGTGTAGTATAGGCAGAGTGTCATATTGCGTGTCACTGAGCTACCTAGTCTAGAATCCAGCTATTCGTACATATCTATTATCCCATCATTCTGCTCCTCCGACTACCCCAACCAACGAGTCAATGGCGCCCTAAACCGTAAACAGGAGAGCGCCACCTCCAAGTAAATTTATAGTCTAGAAGTGAAGTCTAGAACCCTAAAAGCCGGAGAACACCGTCGCTTAAATAGGAATGACAGGCAAAAGGTACGGAGTATTAAGGTAAATTCTCAACGATGCTTATTTACTAGGCAACCTCAGATATCCGGACCGCATGGCAAATAACCTTCATGAATCATCTGCATGTAAATTTACCTTTAAAGTGAGTTTGATTGACCACGAATATTATGGAAAAGGGGGTAGGGGGTGGGGAATAAGGATGAGATGTCCAGTTATATGTCCACACAGATGGTAGGCATCTGTTCTTGAAAGCACGAAGAGCGTTAGGCGACACATACGATCCAGCCATGCGACGACGATTTCCTCTTGGAGATGAGAATCAATGTAAGCACCTCGCGATCACTACAGTAATCACAAATCCCCAGCAAGACAATGATGTTTGAAATTTTTTGATTATTTTTGCTTTTCCTTCAATTTTCCTGGCTTCAATGTTGTGAATGCCCATAGTCTCTCCTATGTACAAATTCCACCCCACTGTTCTGCATCTCAGACTTTCTGCATCTCTCCAGTTATCTGTAATCGTACATCAACAACAAAAGAAAGAAAAAAAGACGAGTAAGACGATCCCGCCCGTCCCTGGATATATAACGTCCCAACAAACTCCAGAACCCCATCAAATCCCCCCAAAACGCCAAAAAAAGACCCCAATAATATTTTTAAAAAAAACCTCCCTCTCCCCTATCTCCCACACAAAGCATCCTCACTCCTGCTCCCCCCTCTGCTGACTAACCTCCCTATTCGCAGGACTAACATCCAACGGATTCCCCTTACCCTCATCCTTCTTATCCCCCTTCGACTCCCCCGCAATCTTCCGCTCCGTCTCGGGCTTCGTCGCCTTGGGGTCAAACGCCGCCTCTTCCTGCTTCGCACTCAGATCGTCCGTCCCGCTCTTCGTGTACTCATCCGAGTCGGTGTTCATGCTTTCTCTATCTTCATTGCCTTTGCGTGGGAAGGAGAGTGGTGTGCTGGTGGTGAGGGTGCGGACGGAGGAGGAGGCGCTGGGGAAGGTCCGTGAGGATGAGGGTGAGGGTGAGGCTTTGTAGGCGGGTTTGGATGAGGATGAGGTGGAGGGGAAGAAGGAGACGGAGCGGAGGAGGGAGCGTTTTGCCAGGACGGCTCGAGGGGCTGGTGGGAAGGGCATTTTTGGTGGGGTGTGGTTGTGGTTTTGGTTTGGTTTGGTGTAGAGTGCTTCAGTATCGATGACGCTCGTTGGAAAGTTTTGTGTTCAATTCCTCGTATATCGATCGAGGGTAGTTGAATTGATCGGACGAACAAATTCTTTCTTGCTTTTTTCTCTCTTCTTTAACCCAAAGAATAGAAGGAGTACTCGTACCGGTAGTCAGATCCTTCGTAAACACAAGTCGTCTGAGAGCGCTCGAAGGGGACACCCAGTAATATGCAAAACCAGATCAGACGATGACGTCAAGTGCTATTGAGTCAGTTAGCCGAGGGTCTCCTCTCCTCTCCTTCACCGCACTTACCAAGTTTTTCGAGAAAGAGTAGATGGGGTGGTATATAATAGGTAGGTAGTCAGATGTTCATCAGATAGGTTCATGGAGAGAAAAACAGAAATTGGCAGGCGAGATCTTCTACATAAGGATGATATCGAAAACCCCGGTGGGCTGGGGATGCCGAAGCGGGCGGGAGGCTGTGTAATCTCGTCCTCTCACGGGCATGGGCGACCTGACTCTAAGCCCCTCTGCCACGCCCCGCAGCAGCGCGCAACAGCCCTCTTCGTGCGACTTGGTATTCTTACCTCCTGTGCTCACAGTGCAGCAAGACTACCGCTACGCGCTCACCCTCGGGCGCTTAGACCGAAACTTTTCGTCTGAACGGCCCGTCAAATACCAATGTCATGTAAATTGACTCCGTACACAGTGCATCTGGCGTGCATCTCATTTCATGTTACTTTGAAGTCTCTCACATGTATGTGTCAAGCCCCCGCCAACCCTTTTCTCGGCGTGGGGTATCTTTTAGATACTCACGTGCTATTCTGCCTCTGCACTCTGCAGGTTACATCAGGTGCCTTCCCATGCCAACTCTACGAGTAATGCATTCTTTCCTTTTCAATAACGCCAGCGTCTATAAACACTCCACATCATTTCCCAAACGCCTACAATATCCAGGTCATTAATCTATACACAGACCAACCACTCCTCTACCACCTTCTACCATAAACAGTATCTTCTTTTGCAGTACCTGATCGCATCGGTGGAGTTGGCTTGCGCTCACGCGAAACATCCGTGCTTGATGTAGGACCCATCTCCTTCAGTATTCGGGGCTTTTGGGAGAGATCAGGGTGATGAGAAACAGGATGCGAGTGTTCAGCGTCTCGTTTGAAGAGAGACAGAATCTCCTTCATACCAAGCTTGCCAACACCCCCCTTACCACCACCTTCGATGGTCTGCTTGGCGAGTTCTCGCTTCTTCTCTTGGAGATCGAGAATACGCTCTTCAACCGAGTCTTCGACCGTGATCTTGTAAACAATGACATCGGTTTTTTGAGTCAATCTGTGAACTCGATCGATAGCTTGCTCTTCTACAAACTGAAAACATGTTAGCCGTGATGTACCTAATTGAGGCATCAAAACTTACGGGGTTCCAGAAAGGCTCAAGGATGACTACTCGAGTCGCTGCTGTCAAATTCAACCCCAAGGATCCACACTTGAGACTGCAAAGCAAGATTCTACAACTCTTGTCATTTCGAAGCCTCTCGAGACTGGCCTCACGGAGGTCGTTTTTCATCTTTCCATCATATCTCGTGAATTTGAATCCCTTCTGGCGTAAGAACGGCTCAATCACATCCAACATAGACGTAAATTGTGAGAAAACGATGAATTTGTGTTCAGTAATCTCTTTGCCGAGAATTTTAATAAGGTGAGTAATCTTTGTCGATGTAACAATAGTGGCGAGCTCGGCTTCTTCGTCTGTTCCAAATTCGTCTTCAACTTCTTCATCGGAATCTGTCTCTGATGTTTGGTCTGATTCCTCATCTTCTTCCGATCCAGATCCCGATTCAGTCTCGGAATCTTCGACCTTGGCCTTTGGCTTCCCCTTTCCTAACTGCTTGAGGTCCGGAAAGCTGTCATCGTCGTCTGAATCAAGCCACTCACCACCACCTTCTGCATTCTCATCGGCAGTTCCACCGGCCTTTCCAAGTTTGAGCGATCCATGTTGGTCCTCAGGAACAAGCCATTTACCATTAGCCTCTTCTTCATCTTCTTCATCGTCACTATCGATTACGATATTTCGATTTCGTGGCTTCCGGGAAACAGTCTGGGATTCTGATCTTTCTTTGCGGTGGTGCTTCTTCTTCTTCTCCTTCTTGTCTTTTCGGGATTTGGGCTTCGTGACAGCTTCAAGATCCTCTTCACAGTCTAAACATCGGATGGCTCCATCTTGGAGGGCTTGCTTTCCGAGTTCGATTTGGCAGACCTCGCATTTCTTGGATTCCATTCCCATGTTGCCAAACATATCGGCCATCTCGTCAATTTCTTTGCTGGCCGACTTGGACTTTTGTGCAGCAGATTCGGTTGTGAGTGCGTCACTATCCTTTGCAAGATTGCCTCCAACGAGCTTAGGATGATTGCACGCCTGTCTGAGACGCAACAACATGACCAATGCACTTGCATAATTGACCTTCTCGCCACTCATCATTTGCTCAATACTGGCATCAGTACGAGCTTCAAGACGCTCGTAGAATCTTCTTTCTTCTGGCGAGAATTCTGCAGCGATCTTCACGATCTTGCGCTCAGTAACCTTGAATCCGGTAGTGCTGGCCGCCCCAGGAGCAGATGGTTTACCACCAGGGTTCAAAGCACCGTCCTTCATTAAGATGGATTTGGTACGACGTAACATGAAGGTAACGAGAATTGCACGAAGACGCTTCAATGCAAGATCGCCTCTGCCGTTCTTCATGGGTTTGTCAATTTGATCCTTAAACTCTCGAAGATCATCGTAAGGTGGGATTCGCAAGAACTTGATCAAACTTTGAAGCTCATCCAAATTGTTTTGCAATGGAGTACCGGTCAAGCACCACCGATACTCACTACGTAGGGCGTAGCATGCTTGGGTTGCTTTGGCATTGCGATTCTTGATGGTATGAGCTTCATCAAGAATGACCCGATACCAATGTAAGCCAAAACAGCCGGTTTTTAGACCATCATCTTGGTCGGAAGAATTATTAAACTCAGACACTAGAATTTGATAGGTTGTAATGACAACATCGTACTTTTTCAAATCCGAGAATTTCTTGGTACGCTGAGGCCCGTGATGAACGATGACCCGGAGTGAGTGCGAGGATTCAACTTTGTCCTTGATCTCAGCCTCCCATTGACGAATAAGTGCCAGTGGAGCGACGACAAGTGTGCACTTATCGACAACAGAATTTATTTTACGTTCTGCCAATCCAGCAGCGTCCGTTGGTTTGGGGTTACTGATAATAAGCGCAATGGACTGTAAAGTCTTTCCGAGACCCATATCATCGGCGAGAATACCACCCTTGGGTGCCTTTCCCTTCTTCTTGCTTCTTCCGAGTTCTCTTGCAATTAACCAGTCTAGACCCTCTGTCTGATGAGGTAGCAATTTGACTTTGATGCCCTCTACCGTCCCGTCATCTTCCTCCTCTTCCACTTCGAACTTTTCTTCTTCGTCCTCGACATCAAGGCCCTTAATTTTTGCCGTTAGGCTGTCGACTTCAGCAGCCTTCTTCTTCTTTCGTAATCTGGTTCTTGGCTTACCATCGTCATCCTCCATAACTCCTTCAAAAAGGGCCTTGAGGTCGGCTTGTGCCTTGGCAGGATCCACGAATGAAAATGGGTCGTAGTCATCTTCTGTAGCTCGATGGTTGCTCAAGGTTAGATCAACATAGTTATTGCCATAATTAGCAGATGAGAAACCAGATGTGCCTCCAAAAGAACTAAAGCTCGGCTTTGGGGCGGCTTGGGTCGTGGTATACATTGTAGCGGAAGGAGGGGGAGCAGCCACTGGAGCGTTATATGCACCTGGTGCCCGAGGGATATGAGCGTGGTGCATTGCGTTTCTTACGACATCTTTGGTAGCATCTTTGATGGCTTGGAAATGTGGATGTGCTGTCAAACAACTATTAGCATTATTATTTATGACTTGATTCTGATCATACCTGGCTTGTCGCTGTCCCGGTGGAGTTCTGGTCTAGATTTTGGTTGAATAAACATGCTTGATTGACTCGCATGAGGTTTATGGAGAGGCGAATTTGGAATACTTGGTTGCCCAAACTGATGAGCACTCGACGCAGGAGCCTTGTATGTATTATCTGCCATCTGCCGGGCTTGCTGGTTTGGTGCGTGGGGTTGGAGATGCCCATTTGCGGGGTTTCGTTCGTTCACCATCTTGTGGTTCGTACTTGATTCCGGGCTATCGTCGTAGGCCCCAAAAACAAAAGGAACAGGAGAATCGGAATCAGCCCAAGATGTGCCTTTGGTAAACTGGAAAGATTTCTCGTCCGGTGTACTAAATAGCGAACTGGAGTCTCCAATGTCGCTGAGGGATTGTATTCGGAAAGGTTTCACGGGAGTGAGGGTCTCTCGTGGCAGAGACGGGAGGTTGGGCGACTCCCACGTTGTGCTGGGTCGGTTCAAGTATGGTTGTTTACTTTTGTTCTTGTTTGGTGAACTCGATCTGAAGGACGGAGCCTCTGTTGAGCCCAGATTGTTGTGAGGGGCGAAACCGGAAGAGCCTCTATTGGTCAACGTGTTAGCCAGCAACCAATAGATTTTTGAGGAAGATGGGGCAAGTACTTCATGGGGTCAATTTCTCAAACAATCCTTCACTTTGTCGTCAGTAGAATAATTCTATTGGAGCTGATGATATTCTGCCAAAACATCGCCTTTTTGCCGTCTGACGCGTCGGCTAGGCGACGACCACTTAAGGTCAACGCGGGGGACTCCTTGTGGCAACTAAAATAGCACAACCGCAATTAGCTAGCCCATGCTCAACGCATCTAACAAAACTCTGTATACACGACTTCATAGCTAACAAATAACTTTTGTACACGCTCCGATTTTTCTTCTATTTTTCTGATTTCTCTATGCAAATCTGCCTACCTAACTATCGATATTTTCCTTTCATTTCCAGTGTGGGGGTTGAACGCGGGGTTCGAAAGCCCCCAACCTGCCTGTGTACCCATGGTATTTGTGATCCAGCAGAAATCCGATACGGGGAATCAATTATCTGTCTTTCATTTGCTGTATAATTCTGAGACAGCAAGTTCCAAAATCAAAAACAATGTCTTTAATGTGTCTTGATGGATTTTCGTCTCAAAATGAAACTGTCTAAGTACCAAACAAGTGATCTTCCTCGAAACAAGAGCCAAGAAGCATTGCGTCCATCTCATAAAAGACCTTGTGAAACATTCCTGGAAAACACAATATTATTGTGAGGGCGGGATGATGTCCGATCCTTCCAAGCCTTTTCTATCAACGGGTTACGGGCTGACAACTATTAAGATGTCCTGAGAATACGCAGATACCAGAAATAGCCTAAATAGGAATCCTCTTCTTCTACAGTACTCCAATACAATGGTTAACCATGCGGAATGCGGTCAACAAAATTACAAACTGGGACATTAGACATCAATATTGAATGTGTACGATTTTATGACGACATGTTTAGCCCAGCGAAGCCATGTTTCCCTGAATAGGAAGGTTCGCTAAATGCTCATTTATTAACGGTAGGTGGATCCATAACTTTCTTTTGTCATCCGCTCCAGACTTCCACCTTCCATTAATCTAGACTACTATGTCATATTCCCTCCAACCCATACAAATCGTACAAAAAACCCCAGATTACACACCAAACGATCCTTTCCTTTCCTGGGGTCTGTATTCCCAAGGTCATATTTGCAAGGTAAGAACCATGTGATTACTTCCCCTTTTCTGACATCGATTTCCTCTTTCCCGCTTTGGTATCAAACAAACTTTTCACTCGTCGTAGCCTCGCCCACCTCTCCTTATCTTTTTCATCTCTGCTCTTGGAATCCTCGGCCTCGCCCAAGTTACCTTCAGCATCAACACCTGTAGCATCCGTAGTGACCGGTGCTGCGGTTCCTTTCTTTGGTGTGCTAATCCTCTCCTTGCCCGTTCGAAGATAGTAATCATTCTTCAGTACTCGCATAAGCGTTTCCCATCCGGGTAAAGCTGTACTGCCAGTTTTCAAAGCCCTAAGTCCGTTCTGTGATGCCGAGTTCCGCCAAGGACAGTAGTCTCTATGTTCTGTAATTGGATCGAGATTGTTTACCACTGCTCCAACTGTTTCCTCGCCAGCTGCGTTAACTTCTTTGCTTTTAAATAACCATAATCCAAGGACTCGGAAACATGCGTGACAAGAAACCGAACCAGGTTGGTCACCTAATCTTTCGTGCGCGTGTCCTTCCCAACCGAATAGTGCCATCGTGAACGCTACTCGATTTACTCCAGCCCCCGAATCACCAAAGAAGTTGCTGGGAAGATAGCTCAAAACAAGATCTAGGTCCAATTCTGGAGGAGATTTCATATTGAACATATATGGTAGACTATCTTTTCTGCTGCTTATTTGATTGTATCGTTCGCGGAGCGTCTCGAGGGCAGTTGGCGCATGAGTAAGAGGTAGTTTGAATATCGAAGCTGCAAATAATGGTCAGGGACTGCTGTAAAAGGTGGCATACAGGCACACTACTGACCATCACATCCCCTCTGTCTCCACAGGCAATCCTCATCATGCGAAGTAATTATTAGTTCGACGTATTTATCCACAAGGGCGTCTTCTAGACCATGTCAGTGAACCACTCAAGACAGGACACCGCCGTAGAACCTACCTATATTCTGCGCCACGTATACTGGCTCCTCCTTCCCATCCACCTCCTTCTTGTTCAACCCCACAAGTATTTCCACATGGCAGAGGCAACATCGCACTCGCTCAGACTTTTGGCAGATCCATCCCCGTTTCGCCCATTCCACCTCGTTGACTCTTGCCGGCTTGGGTGTCCAATTTGCGAGACTCGAAAACGACTTGAGGCGCTTGAGAAACTCTCCCCGATCCCAGGGCGCATACTTGGGAGTGGATGTATCCAAGGCAGCTGTCGTAGAGGAGAGAGATTTCCTATGCGACATGGCGGTTCCTGAGGAAAGTTTGGCGACTAGAGATTTTCCATGTGGTTTGACGGGGGTGATTGTCGAGGGCAAGGCTTTGGACAAGGCATCTGAATGTGAACTGCTAGTCCTTCGCTTCTTGGATTGTGAATCGGGGCTGTTGGGAGATGTCAAATCATTGTTTACATCCTTTGTGGATGCAAGGGAAGTGGTTGATTTGTTGCCTATACCATTAAGTAAGGTATTGAATTTTCTCTTGGTAGCATTCATGGTGAACAAAATGGTAGAGCAGCACTTTTGGACAGGAGTTATTTTATCAGAAGTCGATGGCGAGGCTGCCAGTCGTTGTTTCCGTTGCTGCAAATACTGGTTGTCTTCGAAGCTAGATGCCGGTTGCCAGTCTGTGCCATCCCTGGTCTCTGCCTCGCCTCGCGGGTGCCCGCAATTGCAAGGCTCCAGCTGTGGGGAGTCTGTGATGACATAATAACATCAAAATCTCGGCCGCGGAGCCTTTCAACTCTAAATCCACTTAGCCAGGCGAGTGATGACTTATAAAATCTACACAAGTAAATCCGACAATCAACCAGGATCAAGAGGAGCCTTGGAAGTTGTCTACAGATGCCCCGCGTACGGCGTGAAGGTACACTTCCAGATCCAGATAAAGCAAAGTATCCTCCTTCCACAAACATCCAACCTTCGCCAACCTTCAGCCCTATTACACATCAAGAAGATCTCGGCCCAGCCCATTCCCAAAGTGGTCATACAGATTATCAACGCAGAATTGCGTCAACACAGTTCCCAGATCAGGGCAAGAAACGGCTCATCTTTATTGTTTCTTTTATCATCTTGACGCTGGCTGCCCTAACTTCCAAGTTCTGGCCTCGTCTCTCTCTTCTCTCTCATCACCTTAACTACCCCTTCCCCTCCTCCAAATTCTCCCTCTCCACCACCACAACCACACACACAACCACAATCAAAATGTCAACCTACAGCAAAGAACTTGAGGTCGCCGAGCTCGCAGTTCAGCGAGCCGCCATTCTCACCAAAAAAGTCTTCAATGAAAAGGCAAAAGGCACCATCTCCAAAGACGATAGTTCCCCCGTGACCATTGGAGATTTTGGCGCCCAAGCCCTCATCATCCAAGCCATCAAGAAGAACTTTCCCGATGACGGAGTCGTCGGTGAGGAGGAAGCAAGCACCCTGAGAGAAGACACCAAACTCCGTGACACCATCTGGTCTTTAGTCAAGGATGTCAAGTTGACCAATGAGACTGCCGAGAAGGTTCTGGGCGGTCCAATTGAGAGTGTTGACGCCATGTTGGAAGCCATCGATGCTGGGAACAGTAAGGGAGGAAACAAGGGAAGAATCTGGGCTCTGGATCCTATTGATGGAACCAAGGGTTTCTTGAGAGGTGGTCAATATGCTGTCTGCTTGGCATTGATGGTAGATGGAGATGTCAAGGTCGGAGTTCTGGGATGTCCAAATCTTCCTGTCGATGATGCAGCACCACTTACTGCTGATTCGGGAGTTGATCAGACAGATTCCGAAGGAAAGGGCGTTTTGTTCTCTGCAATTCTCGGACAAGGAGCCATCAGTCGTCCATTAACCGATGGCGCCGTCGCTTCAAGCAAACCTATCAGCATGAAACCAGTTACTGACCTCAAGGAAACCATCTTCTGTGAGAGTGTCGAAGCAGGCCATTCCTCCCACGGAGACCAAGCTGCAATTGCTGCCAAACTCGGTATCACCAAGCCAAGCGTGAGAATGGATTCCCAGGCCAAGTACGGTTCCGTTGCTCGAGGTGCAGGAGACATCTATCTCAGATTACCAACCTGCGCAACCTACCAGGAGAAGATCTGGGATCACGCAGCTGGAGATCTCATCGTCAGAGAGGCGGGTGGACAAGTGACAGATACCCTCGGAAGAAGACTCGATTTCGGTCAGGGCCGAACCCTTGCTGAGAATAAAGGCGTGGTAGCTGCTCCTGCTGCAGTCCACGGTTCGGTTCTTGATGTTGTCAAGGAGGTTCTTTCCAAAAAGTAGTCTTCTTTACTTTGTTGTTGTTTATTTTAGAGGATCCAAATGACTAGAATGTAATTGAATATTTCAAATCTCACATAAATGCCATCTTCCCATAATTACCAGCGTTGTAAAGAACTACTCAATGACTCGAGTACTACTTAGAGTAGTTTACTATAAAGTGACCTTAAGTAGATCTAACGTCTTTTAGTATTATATCTCCATCTTAAACTATAAAAGGTTCTCTTTCAGATTCCATTTCTTCTCCGTAAGACAACACTACTAAATTACTACTAGTTAGAAACACTTGTTACTCGAATATATATACAACTTTATTTCCTATCCTAGCTTAAGGGGTGGGAGGGGAAGGGAGTAAAACTAAGGCCGAGTAGTCGGACCCCCCATCCGAGGCTCGGTCCGACATACTCCGCGCTACTCAAGAAGTCCTGAAAGTCACTCGAGTACTTGCCGAGTTAAATTAAGTAGGTCTAATAAGTACTCTGAGTTGACTTAAGTAGGTAGGTGCCACTACTCATCTCAACTCATTTACTCGAGTACAACATTGATAATTACTGTGAATGAGTAGCTCATGAAAATCTCGGCAATCTGTACCTGTTTTTCACCTAAAATAGCTCTTCCATTTTTGTTAGAGAAATGAATTTCATAACGGAAGTCCTTGATTTCTGGGAAGACTAGACTTGATACAGGGGTTTTAGGTGATTCATGAAAAGGAGTACAGTAAGCGAGCCGTGAGTTACAGCTACAGTACTCTTCTCTGCAAACAGTCCAATTCGAAGATAGCAAAATACATTTCCCAAATTCCAAAGCATTTATGAGGAAAAGTGCTAATTCCCTCTTAAAGCCATCCTTTACAGTATACACATTTCCACCCAAAGGCCCCAACCTTTCCATACAAACCACACACCAATATAATACAACCCTCCCCCCCCCCTTAATTCCCATCTCACCTACTTAATCTTCTTCGCCTTCAACTTGATCGTCTCCCCATTAACAAAGATCCCCTTCCCCTTATACGGCTCCGGCTTCCTCCACATTCTAATCTTAGCCGCAAACTGCAGCAGGACCTCCTTCTCCACGCCCTCGAGGAGGATTCTCGTCGGCTGCGGCGTGCTGGCCTTGACGCCCGCGGGAACCGGCAGCTCGATCGGATGCGAGTAGCCCACCTTCAGGACGACGAATTGCTGGCCGGGAACGGCGGGCGAGACGGTCGTGGCGGTGTTTTCGACCGTTGCTCGGTAGCCGACGCCGACGAGGCGGAGGATTGCGGTGTGCCCTTCTGAGACGCCTAGGATGTGGTTTTGGAGGTAGGCGCGTGTTGTGCCTATATGAATTGGGTGTTAGTACTTGGTTGTGAAGGGGAAATGGGAGGGGAGTAAAGACTTACCCCACATCTCGCGTTGCTTTTTGATTTCTTTGTCTTCGACTGTTACGTAGGCTTTTCTTGATACTGTGTCGTGCTCGACTTTTACGAATGGCGGGATGGTCATTGTCATACTACCTATATGGAACGAATTAGCAGGATTTCCCAATTGATTTCCCCATAACCCTCTTCTCTTCTCCATTTCCCTCCCTCCCTCCATTTCAACCTCGCCACAAACCCAACTTCCTCCTCGCCAAATCTCCAAGCCCCAATCCCCAAGCAACAGCCTCCCCATCCTCCTCCAAACCCACCCAAAAACCCAATCCCTAAATCAAACCACAACGATAAAAAAAGAGAATAACCCACCCAAAGGCCCCTCCACAAAAACACTCCCCCTCTCCCCCCTCCCCCTCACCACCTTGCCCATTTTCATTTTCTCCCCA